CCCCCCCGCTGTTTTTCCTGCCTGCTCCTTTTATTTTTTTACCTTGCCATCGGAGCATGCGCAGCTATATCATACCGGCTACACATGTCAGGACCCCAGCTGCCTTTCCTATGCCTGTCAACAATCCACCGGCTACAAATTGATCGCCTGTAAAGTTTTATGAAAGCAAATTATAAGACGCTGCATTTAACTTTCGTCGCAGCTGGTGAGAGGATTTCGATACGATTTATATTTTAGGTTATATTAGAATCGTGTGCTGTTGATTTAAAAACGAATGCAATATCTCAACTACATTTAAAATCACAGTGGTGTTGAGTGTACTCGTGGTTTAAGGGGTAGCAGTATAAACGCAGGTTCCTCAGACGAGCAGTGAACTCAGAGCAAATACTTTACGATGGAGCTGCCGGAGCAGTTTAGGCAAAAAGTTGTAGAGAGGCACAAATCAGGAGAAGGATATAAAAAAATTTCAAAGACCCTGAATATCCCTCTGAGTACAGTTGCATCCATCATCAAGAAGTGGAAAGTGTACCACACCACCCAGACTCTGCCAAGGTCGGGTCGTCCCTCCAAACTGAGCAGCCGGGCAAGAAGAAAGTTAGTCAGATATGCTTCCATAAGGCCCATGGCGACTATGAAGCAGCTGAAGGAATTGTTGGCTGAGACTGGTGAAAATGTCCATGAGTCGACGATATCCCGGTCACTCCGGAAAGCTAAGCTGGGCAAAGTGGCACAAAGGAAGCCAATGCAAAAAGGTGCCCATCTGAAGTCCCGTGTGGAGTTTGCGAAGAAGCATTTAACTGATCCCGTTAACGTGTGGCAAAGGGTTTTGTGGTCAGATGAGACAAAACTGGAACTTTCTGTTTCTGGCACAGCACATCCCTCAGGTAGCATCACTGCCTCCGAGCCTGAAGGGGGCAGCATCGTGTTATGGGGCTGCTTCTCATGGGCAGGGATCGGGAGGCTAGTCAAGATCGAGGGAAAAATGGATGGTGCCAAGTACACACAGATCCTGCAGGAAAACCTGCTGCAGTCTGCTAAGCAGCTAAAACTGGGACGGAAATTCATCTTCCAACATGACAATGACTCAAAACACAAGGCCAAAGCCACACTAGAGTGGCTAAATAAGAACAGGGTGACCGTTCTTGACTGGCCCAAGAAGAGTCCTGACTTGAATCTCATAAAAAGTCTATGGAAAGATCTGAAGATTGCTGTCCAGCAAAGGTCGCCAAGCAACCTGAGGGAGCTTGAATGGTTTTGCCAAGAAGAATGGGCCAAAATTTCACCCTCCCAGTGTGCAAAGCTGGTTGACTCCTATCCAGAAAGGCTTGCTGCTATAATCACTGCAAAGGGTGCAGCAACCAAGTATTGACTGACAGGGTGAATAAAGGATAAAAAGGAAAGCGATTCAGGGTTTTTAAATGGATTCCTAGTCAGGTTCAGAAAGTAAAAATCTAGACCAAGATTTTGTTTCAACCAATCAGCTGAATACTGGTTGGCTGAACCAAAATTTTGGTGAGGATTTTGACTTTCTGAACCTGAACTATCCACCTCTGATTCCTGATGAACTCAGCGGTTGCTTTTCAGTTGGGTTTATCATTAATCTAGGAGAGCAGTAATAGACTATTGTCAGTTATTTGGGACATTTTCAGAGATGCCTAACAAACTAGATCCAATCAGATAGAAACGCTACATATTTCAGTGGACATTAACTTGTCCTTTCCAGTGTGAATTGTGAGGACTCACAATATCGGTGTTGAAGTTGCAGTAAATTGACTAATTACTTTCACATGTTTTGATTGGCCAGTGTTTGTTGATACGGTCACATGACATTTCAATTTACTAAATATGGTGCACAAGGCCAGTGAATAGAACAGGTTTACATACAAGCCCCCTGGTCCCTAGTTTTGAAACGCAGCACTGGAGATTTGCTGATCACTGCGTTTATGTTGATCTCTGAGACAAATCAGAGACACCGTTATCCCTGCTGTGAAGAAATTTATGAGAAAACTAATAATTCTTGAGTAATATTCAAAATATCTCAGCTCCTGCTTCAGATTCGGGTTGGTTTTGACTCGCTTATGCTTCTAAGCCTGTTTAGTTGGTCAAGTATGCAAATATGTCTGTTTTCAGCTTAGCCATATCGCATAACAGTCCTCTGCTTTTCTACTGACTGTCAAATTAAAAGTCCCAACATACACATGAGGTATGCAATTACTTGCCATGTTCTAAACTAAAGCGTTAAACCCTGTTTAAACTGCACCATCGAGATTTTTACTGCTAAAACTGACATGTGCTCTGAGCCAGTGTGAATCTTCAGTGTCAGTGTTGTTTCGTCATTGTCCATTGCTGATGTCCTGGATACATTCCGTTTTTTTGCCAATTTGCAGATGTATCTGAGTGAAGGCATTTATTAAGCAAATTAAATGATATGTTAAATGTAAAATAATGTAAAATAAAATTATATTAATACTGGAATGGTCTTCTATTCACTTATAGATACTAGGAAATTAGACAGTGGAGGAATTAAATTAAAACATTACTTTGGACAGAAATTTGCACATTTTTCCATTTATTGCATAAACTGCAGATTTTTATTCTTGTTAATGAAAGGCAAATAAAACAAGTTGTAAAACACCCTCTTAACTGGTTGTGTGGTGATGGCATAGTTATAACTGCTAGAGGAAGTTACTTAGATGACTCAAACATATGACGTTTTCTTGCTAATAAAGGCACTCAAACGGTGAACATAATGTACATTTATTTGTTAGCAAAGAATATTGCGTGTATTCTTAGTAAATCTTAAGTGAGTAACATTTAAATGTAGAAAATTGGAGTGTGTGCAAAAACTTTTGACTGGTAGTGTAAGTCAAATCAAACATCTAACCCAATCTAATATTTTTTCATAATTTTTGCATATTAGACATAGGAGATATAAGGTAGGGCTGAATTTACCTGCAGTCTTCGTCACTTATACACCCAGTGGTAACCATAGGAACGGAAGCCTTGATTCTTCAAACTCTACTTACTTTACTAGTGCGTTTGATATGGAGTAACTTACAACATCGAAATTTTTAGCTTTCGGATTTGAAAACAACGCAGAAGAAATCCCAGGAGATTGGCAATAAGTTAATCTGAATGTATGCATTTGGATTGACCTGGATTCAAATACAGACTAAGGTTATTTAATGTAGCAGACGCTTTCGTCCCAAGTGATGTTCAAGCGAGGCAAAACTGCACTTCACAAACATACGGCTGTCGAGGAGTCGACTAGGCAAAAGCGCAGCTAGGCTGAGCTTCCAGTGAAAGTCCAGGTACGAGTGTCAGCAGCACTGGAGCAGGAGCTATACAGCATCTTCTAAAGAAAGCCAGAAGCTAAAAAGACTATTCAAGGAGTAGAAATGCAACATTAAGAATGTTCAGGGAATATGGTGTGGTGTCAGGTTAGTGGAGGTAAATACCAGGAATGGGAGTGGCTTATCAGAAGCCAGGTAAAACTAAAAACCTACTGGATAGTAGCTCTACAGGGTTGGAGTTGGAGACCCCTGTCCTAAGGAATCTCTTCCAGCCTGTTCATTGATGGACCTTTTGCCCACCTAGCACCAAGGACCCAAACCTCTTGTAATTACCGATAAAATTGCAGTTCTTCTTTGTGGTTGAGGTTTAGGAAAGTATTACATCAGTTCATTCATCTCATTTCTCCATCCTCCGCTTGCGTTTTCTTCATTTGTCTTTATTGTTGATCAAAGGCTCCACCAACAGCTCTCTGACTTTCTCGCTCTTTATTGCTGATTGTTCAAAGAAAAGACCTGCTGTTTACACCTGCCTTCTTTATATTTGCATAGCAGAGCAGGAATTCCGAAGTTACGTAAATTACAGGTTTTTATGCATAAATACATATCAATGTTAAAAGTAGGAAAACTGTTAATTTCTCTTATAAAAATAAATAATTTAAAAGCATTTACATATACAGTATACATCTGCATTAGCAAGATTTGATGTTCACAGTACAGTTGTTTAAATATTTTAAATATTCTTGTCACCCATAACTTTGTAAGTCCACTTTTACTCAGGCACAACAGTGCATTATTACAGATTCAATAAATATTATCAGTTAACTTAATATTGTTACTTTAACATAATAAATATAATGGAAATGTAACTTTCTATAGCAAGAAATTCTGAATAAAGTATTCAGCTAGATGCTGGTGATTTTGGGCCCCCAGTCCAAACCAGTCCAATTATGTTCTGAATTTTTTTAGGACCCTTATCAGTTAAGGACATTTGGGATTCTCCTAACTTTGCCCCCCCCCCTTATGCATCATTGTGTTCGGAAGCTTCCGGGGTCTTCACAAGCCAAGGAGGGTGGGGGAGTTGAGCGAGTGATCTGACCACTGGTCCCCGCTGCTGCTGGCACGGCGGTGAGCGACACCGCAGGTCTGGGAGGACATGCCAAGAGGGGCTGAGGATGAGGAGGCCGTTTGGCTCTGTTGGGAGGGAGCTGGCAGTTTGCAATCCAGCGGGGACGTGGGGTAGGTGAAGACCATACTCAGTGACAACGGTGTTGGAGAAGGAGAAAAGAAGAAGAGAGGAGTATAGAGAGACTCAGCCTTTGGGGTCAGAAGCAGAGCAGAAGAGGAAGTGCAGGCGGCAGGAAGGGCTAGTGGGGAAACTTTACTTCTAGGTTTTTCAGGCTGGGAGACACTTGTACTGGACATACAATCACTCAGGCCAGAACTGACGGGCTCAGCCTTGATGTTCTCCAGGGAAACCGGCTTGAGGGCCTCCGGAGCGGCACGGCGCATCTTGCACACGGGTTGGTGGGCCAACAGGATGAGCTCCATCTGGTCCTTCAGCTTCTCCAGCTCGGCGATCGCTTCCTGCAGCTGAGACTTCTCCTTCTCCAACTGCTCAGTCTCCTGAAACATGCCAGCGCGCACCTTAGTACAGATCCCATAACTTACGTATGAAGTATGAGGACGCTTCTAACCAAAGCGGTGTACAGTAGAGAGAGCTGGGTCAGGCGGTCTTTGGAGCAAGTGGGGGTTAGGGCCCTTGCTCAGGGGCCCGATGGTTTCAGCACTAAGCTGACTGGAATCTGAACCATTATGAGTCACAAACTAACATCCTCAACATGCCAAGATGAATGATTCAAAAGTAGTTCTGTGGGATTCCAGTTTTTCGCTGATGACAGCAAATAGCATATATTGTCCAATTCTCCATTTCCTATTGGCCGAGAAGCCAATGCACATATACAAAAATTACACATGCATTATATCTGAATGTGTCACGCAGGTGGGATCAGTTTTACACCCGCAAAAGCATATCCAACCTAGACAAGTCTATACACCAGACAGCTGTAGCTATGCCTACCCGCCATACATGTTACCACAATGATCAGCCTTGAGATTGTTCGGGATCTTCGTAAACCCCTGATTCAGCTAAAAAAAACACCTGCGAATCGGCCGTCATGTATTGAAATCCCTAAAACTCACGTTTTGCAGCTGTTCCGTTAGTTCCTGCCGGCGGCTGCGACACCTGGCGGCCGCCATTCTGTTGCGCTCCCTACGCACTCTCTTCTTCTCCATCTCCTCCGTGAGCAGCTGCAAAGACAAGAGCCAGGGGAACGGAAATGAGGGCGACAGGCAAAAATGTAAGATCCTCCGAAACAGTAGAAAGTAGACGGAGGATATTGTTCTAATCCAACAGGAACCTTTGAATCCTCATTTCCGCCAATCGTCGCTCGCATTCAGTGCTTTTGAGCTGTTAATCACATTTCATTGGAAATGTAACATCAACTTTGGTCCGGAATTAAAGGATAAGGGATGTTTTATTGTCATTTAAAAACATGTTGTACATGAAAGGAACAAAATGAGGTACTCTGGTACTGGTATACATAGTGATTAAGTCCAGTAATTCAATCAATAAAATAAGGTAAAAAATACAGAATAGAAATAACATTAGGATAATGTTCAAGGATTGATTGTATATCAAAGATATACATTGTATATATTGTACATCAAAGATAAATCCTATAATCAAGGATACATTGATGGTTACATTGGTTCCGTATTTGTTTAACAGATTACGTGTTTGAAAGGTCTTCAAAGGGGTTTCACAGCTGGTAAACTGTCAAAGTTACCAAATCCCAGCATAACTGTTGTCTTTAGAAAGCTAACATAACACTATTCTCTTAATCTTTAATGAATGGTCATTGTGCACTGTGTGTTTTATAATCACTATTTTTGTTTTAGCTGAATTTAATATCCATTAAGCAACCTAATAAAATTAAATGGACAGGTCTGCACCAGCATGTGGCTCAGAAACATCGAGCCAAGTAAAATGAAAAAACATGCTCAGTGGAAATTTTAACTCAGGCCAAAATGCCCAGTTACCACCTTCTGGCTTCTGTAAACATTTTTTTTTACTGTGCACTAAGAAAAAATACCTTGGGACACAGCTACATCAGTAAGAATGTAGCATTCATCTAAAAAACATTAAATTCCCATTTAAATTAATCACTGTACATTCGTCATTCTTGATTTTCTTAGTAGAAAAAAAACAATCGGTATGGAGACCCCATATGTGACTAAGCCGGTATTTGACCTCAGTGAGTCCCTGTGTATTTCTTTCTCTTTAGGGTGACATTAATATATTGTCATAACAGCGTCACATTTTTATGCTTCATATTACTTTTCCTCCAACTGAACCGGTTTTTATCAAACCAGATCAAAAGCATTTTCATACTGCCAAGTACTTCCTTGCTCTGCATAAGTTGTGAACCTTAACAAGGTTCATGCGAATTTTATAGTGAAAATTTATGGGGGTGATTACTCACGACAGGCAGGAAGTAAGTTGCATATTTTAATCAGTAAATGCGACTATTTCCTGTTTTTCCAGTAACGGTACTGAGCCCGAGATAATCCGTGTATGTTTCGGTTTTTCCCTGGAATTCTCTTAACGCTTAGGGATCGAGACTTCCTCTCTGTAAATGTTACCCATTATATATATAGTCCACTGTGTTCACATACAAACTGCTCCCACTACGACAATTTGCATATGCGTACGAATAAAACAACTACCGTAAATGTATGCAAAAACAAATTACAGGCGCGGTACGCCCAGCAGTGATACACGCCACATATTACGCGCTGCTCGCCGTACAATACTAACCGTGGTAATGTACTGTACTGTACTGCGCCACCATCAAAGTCTCATTCTCACGCGTAAATCAGTGCGATTATCATATCCCGACATACGTCAATTTTGACGTACGATGGAACGGAATCCAGTCGTGAGTCAGTAGCAGAATGTTCCTGTGTTTGTGGAGCGTAATGTCAAATGCACTGACAAAGCCAATGTCCACCAGCGGAACTTACTTGTTCATTACGTTGTCTTTTCCTGTCGTTGCTAAATGCCCCAGGTTCGTTCATGATTAACTTCTGCACCGGTACACTGGGAGACCAGGGCGTGCCCGCTTGGCCCAGATGTGAGGGCTGTGGCATCCAGCGAAGGAATGGACTCCGGTTTGATGTCATGCTGGGCTCGAGGCCGCCTGAACAAGCACCTGGCGTCGCCTAAATTAAGGACACACACCGGAGGAACGGGTGAATTATGTATAAAATCTGTGCTGCGATGTACATTACCCAATATCGGGCATCTTCACATGGACAACACAGCCCTGTACTGTATAAGCAGTATAATGATGGATGGACAACTAAGCACTAGATAGATCCGGACACTCAAAGTAAAATTTAAAAGCAAATAAGCCGAACAAGAGGAATAATTCGATGTGGATGTGAACAAAGCAAGGGGAGAGTCATTATGAAGCGGGAATGAACAGGGATGGACACAGATTGAGCGCATTACAGCACAGGAGAAAAAAACATTATTTCATCCATCGTCCTACTGCTTATTTTTTCCCCTCTATTGTACAACACGTATTCATATAGGCCTACCTTTATTTTTCTATTCCCCGCATCTGTTACTACTAAAATAGTACTACAAGTATTAATTCATCAACACATCGGGAAAATACTGATAGTGTTAGTGATATATTTTTTAAGATGTAGGGTGTGATATCATCATCATCATCATCATTATTATTATTATTATTATTAATAATAATAATAATAATAATAATAATAATAGTGAGTTTTGGCTACTATTCTAAAAGTTATGACATGCTCTAAACCTGTACCGCGAAACCTGTACCGCGAAAGTTATGACATGCTCTAAGCCAAAACCGTCAGATACAGGGCAAAAAAGTATAGTAGTGAAACATACAATGAGCAATTAAAAATACGAAAACTTCACAAACCTTATGCTGAACTGAGGATACAGTGCACACGTCAAACGCTTTGGAAATTTCATTTCCAAGTGTCCTATTATCGTCCCGGCTATCCCTATTTCTTCTGATGTCGCGATGGTACATATTTTTAAAAGAATAGCCTTTGACAAAACAGTCCCTCTAGACTGGTTACCTATACAATTTGGTACGATGTCAAAAGTTACTTCAGGATACCTCAAGTACGAAACTCTTAAATCATGAGCGAAAACCTCTTTTGTCGCGACAAGGCAAAAACCAATGTATCGAATTCGGAGGATATAAATAATAATATTTTGTACATTCGTTCATGGATTACACTTCAGCTTTCATAATAAATCAACACTTACATTAAACATTAATTTATAAAGCTTCTTATGTTTTATAATGTACTGGCTTTCAAATAATAATATTTATCCCTATATTGACAATTTGGTGCCCCCCATTAAATTTTATAAAATGGTCTCGTCTGTCACGTGCAAAGTAACAGGTCAACGTCAATGCCCAAATTTGGTAAATCATTTCCCACTTCCTCGGGGATTCCTGCTTTGACTGTGTACCTGAGCGCAACTACCATTTCCGTTTCTCTCGTATTCTCATTTTCATTCCAGTAATTTTTTTTCCAGAGAACCCAGTTAATAGTCAAATTTTTAAGAAATATTTACCACTCCATAAACATTATATATATCGTTTGAAATTGTATACGGCGTCAATGCTTCTAAACCAGGTAATCGACAAAGTATGAAGCAATCTCTGGAAACATTACGTGGGAATCGTGAATGAATTCCATTGCGATAAAACGCCGCATTACGCCATACCCACACCGGAGGCTACAATAGGCAGTAACCATTTTAGTGAGCTATTCCGGTAAATAGTGGTGGTTCCAAGTTTACTTTATGACATAAGTCAGATGCGCAGGTGTGTCAGAAAATCAGACAATGTGAATTACGAGAATTTGATGTGTCTTTAACTTCTAATTAAGTAATCTAATTAACTTCTAATGTGCCCGGTCTAGTTTTAATAGTTACGCAACTGAAACAGAATTCGATGAGAAGTGAACATACATTTTTTCTTTTATTGTTAGCATGTGCTAATTTATTATCCGAATGAACACATTCAGTTTCGTAATCCATCATTTATAAAAGTGTGTTAATATGTGTAAATCGTATGTAAAACCTAGGGTACCCCACGTGTTCGTCATTAGAAAGTTTAAAGATTACTTAAATTTGCTGACAACTGAAAGATTATACTGGTTCAGCACCCAGGACAGGTCGTGTAAGGGTAGTTTTCAGGTTACTTGTGTTATGACAAACATGTATTTCTTTATATGAGACATTTGCAAGCACTGCATTGTGGATATCATATAAAGTCAAAATCAAATGTCTCATATATGTGCCTGTGTGTCATAGAGAGCAAGAGGGGGTAAGTGAAATGAAAATTTGCCCCTGGGGAATCAATAAAGTGCCATTAATTATTATGATGATTATTATTGATTTATACACTGGGACTGGATGAAAGTGAATTCAAATCAAATCACAAAAACCTTTATTTTGGATTGAAATTCCATACAGAGTTTTTGCTGTTTTCTGATTTGAAACTGAAGTAGGTGAAGTTAAAATATAATTCCACATGCTAAGGGGTTTCCACGCGCCTCAGAGTGGCCTATATGCCCCCACAGTGATGTCAAACAGTTTGGTGTTGTTCAACTTTCCATCCTTGTCCAAAAGGAAATAGAATCTGTGACCTTTGACCCGAAGGGGGATGAAAGAAGGAGACTCCATCCTATGTGCATGACAGGTCACATGAGACAGAGGTACTGTAATGCATCGGGCCATGTCAACCCCAAACGGTGACTGTGTTTTCACAGTAACTGTACCCCCACCCTTATGCAAAACCACTCGGCTGACAGATCGACGACTGAACAGCACTCCAAGTCCAACTATGGCTCCTCCTGCAAGGACAATGAACAGTCTAATGTCAATGACATTTTATTTCCGGCAGGAACGTTGAAGAGTAGAGAACATTTTTGAGAACAGCCCGCTGAGCGACATGCTCCAATCATACTTGTCTGTGCCTAGTATGTCAATAAAATATTGAGCTGTGTAAAAATATTAAGGTCAACTTGCGTGATTTGACTATTGATTCAAGCATCTACTAAGTATACATAAAGTACAACATTTGAATGGGTACAATGGGAGAATGAATTCCCACTGGAATGGACATATATTGACAGAACCATCCCTTTTGTGCTACTAAGGTAAGTGGTACGGAAGTATTGCAGGAGGCAGCAGGTATAATTGTACTTACCCAGAGCAAGACAGCCGAGGGTGAATCCGAACCTCCAAGTATTAGTACCTAAGGACACGCCGAAAACCGGAAGTCCTTCCTCGCCCCCTGGTTCCACGTCCTTGGTGGCTTTTTTGTTGCCAGTCTTGGTCTTTCGCAGACTGGTAAAAGCGAAGTGAGCCAAGTACGTCCAGAAAAGCACCTGACATGCACAAAACGCTGTCAGCAGGCGAAAAAAACCGGTTCTGTCGTGCTCGAACAGAACCACGTCTCTCGCTACTGCAGTAGAGGTGGAGTACCACCGTGGAAACGCTGCGTTTGCGTTCACGGAAACGTAAAAGCATCTTTTCTGCATCTGCGAAATGGTACTAGCTGGCTTTAAGCCTCTCAGACAGATGTGTTTCCGGGCGATCTCCAATATGCTCGCATCCTCCTGCATACATAATCTTTTCAAAGAGTCCCGCCACACAGAAGCTGAATTTAATCCCAAAGACAGTTTTTGTGACAATCCGTTTGTGATAAGGTTAACTCCCCTAGTAATGTTTGAAACCTTGCTCAATGTTAAATTCCGCGTTGCGTTAGTGTCAAAAGTTCGTATTTGAAGCGAATGAAGTACATGGTAACCAAAAAATTTCCTGCAGCACGGCGTGACTGAACAGGGGCGACAACCTACAAAGGCAAAAAACAAATACCGAGCCCCCATTCTAATTTGTTTGTCTGTCTTTTAAAAAAATATTTCCCACTGCAACTGACTATCTGTTACAATTTAAAGTAGCTAACTTTCTGCAAGGATAGTCTCACTTTTAGCGTGGACATTTGCCAGCCGCCATGTGCAACCGATGTACGGAGAACATGAAGGTCCATAAAGCTTAAACCTGTACCGCGAAAGCAAAAGTCAAAACCATCTACATTTTTATTTGCTATTTTGGTTTATGTGGAACTAATGGTCATAGTGTTTGTGCACAGCGGTGATGATGTATAGTCATTAGTGAAAACCAAAATTGGGAGCCTATACTATAATCGAATTTGTTTACTTTGCTAATATAAAGGCACAAGAATTTAATCATCTGGGCCCGGTTGTTCAAAAAGTTTAATCTGGATCAAAATGACCGTGATATGGAAATACCATGTTTTGCTATCAAGGATCACGTAATACATCTTACTTTTGTGCCAGTTTTGGATTGGATTACCCTGATCCAGATCCATACTTTTCACGATTGCCAAATCTGGATTACCAGTGTTCTAAATGGGACAGCATATCACAATGCAGGCTACTAGCTATGTAAAGAACAACTGCTGGAATAGCCAGCGTGGGGGGGTCACTTAAAGTGTTATGATTGGAAGAGACAGCAAATAGCACAAAAAAATTATGCAAATATCCCCTTCTAGTCAGACCCCTCGTTACACCAAACAAATAAATAAAGACAAATAAACATTATTCATAAATATGAATGAATATTTTGAACACGTATTTCAGATCATAAAAAGGCTAAATGTCCAGTAGTTATTAACAGAAAGGGATGTAATTGTAAGAAAATACTTTTGTCTGGTTCATCTCTGATGATGGTGTCCATGTAATCAATACAGAGGAATGAGTAACAGTTACAATTAAATTATTTTGGTCTGATGCTGGCAGTTATTTGGTGGATTCATTTATGGGAACAAAATCTTTTTCTTAACTTTACCGAATGGATTAATGTAACATAATATCTACTTGATCTACTTTATCACTGTAACGGTTGAACAAATCAAGTGCAAAATGTATTACTTGACCAGTTTTGAAGATATATTATATTTTGTTCCTGAAATCCACCCTGACACACAAACACATATGGGATCAGGGTAATCCTTAATTGTTTTTTTGGATCAAAGGTATCCAAATTCTACTAAAAAGGTTTGATGGTCAGATCAAAACCAAGACTGGATCAAATTATCTAAACCGATTTCAGAATCCTTTTTTGTAACAATCCATTTTCAAAATTTAATCCAATCCCACAACTGAAATCCAATCATATTTACTTTAGAACAACCATGTTGTGTTTTTCGTAATTCTTAATGATTATGCTTACATAGATCTTATAATGGTGGAATAGAGTCTTTCACATGAAGGACACAAAAGCGAGAGTGCTATCATGTGTTGAATCCTGTTTATTCAAATTACAACGGGATCATTATAGTACTTCTGCGGAATAGGAATGCAACCTCCCCTAGTAATGTTTGAAACCTTGCTCAATGGGGTGGAACGGGAACGATCGCAGTGATGTAACGTGGCATCACGTCACGGTAGCTCATACTGCACAAGGCTTTGCCATAATGGGGTCAGGTGCGGGTACAAATTTAAATATAACTTTTCTAAACATGTAGCATCCTATCAGAAAACCACCAATCTCATCAAATCACAAAAGACTGACGGGAATATGATTACAAATGTCTGCAGCGGTTACGTAACCATAATCTCTAGATTGACCATTTACGTAAAACCAAAACCACAAGTATTTCATCACGACTTTTCAGCGAGAATGCATAGTTTACGGGTTTCGTCTGAAAAGTCTAGGACATTTCCCCCCGTGCTACCTACTGTACTGCAAACTGATGGAACAGAAACCTCTCCTTGTATATCCCCCTCCTGCACACCATTGGGGTTAGATATTTTTCCAAACACCGCAAGAGGAGAAGGGCAAGATGCCTGCAAGAGATAGACTTCCAGAGATAAACCTCTGCTGTGAATTTTACCCTGTTATGTAAGCTTCTAGCCTACGGTCTCATCCTTCAGATTATCTTTTATCACGAATGTTTATTCTGTGCACTTTCTAAAGACAACGGGAATTTTCGATTATTCTAACACACCCTTTTTCATTCCAATCTTTTCGTAACATCCGTTGTAAATGCATTCTACGTTGGGCATATAACCAATTCATCATAAATTTCAAGATGAAATTCACCCCGATGAACACTAGGTGGAAGCATTTAATCAACAATATATATATATTTAATTATCGGGGTAGCACGGGGGACTCAGTGGGTAACACTCTTGCTTTACATCTTCAGAGTTGGGGGTTCAAATTCCACTTCCATTCTATGTGTGGAGTTTGCATGTTCTTCACGTGTGACGTAGGTTTCCTCTCGCAGTCCAAAGACAAGTAGCAAAGCTCTAAATTTCCCATAGTGTGTGAGTGGATGGATTTCGGCATATCGTTTACATACAACAAAATTCCCATAATCGAATCGCTGCATTTCACAGCAAATCAGAATAGCTTACACAATAATTGCAGCGTTTAATACAGCAGTACATTTGCATGATATCACCTAAATATTTCCCAATTATTAAATGTGTCAAACCATCAGCAGCAACATTTAAACGACAGGCAGGAAATAACTAATAATATTCCAGAATAAATACCATTATTATTAAGCAATTCAATGGTATGGTCTGAAAATGCAGCATCATCTTCTCTGCATAGGTTGTTTATAGCCCGCCTACTTTTTTCTTTGTCTCAGCCCCTTTCTTGGTCACTCGCTAATCCCAGCTTCCCTGCTCACAGTCTCCTTAGTTCTCCTTCCCCAGCTTGCAGGGCTTGATCCGCGCCTTCCATCATGTTGGGTTTTGCAGTGGAAATGGTTTTGCCCTTATTGCCTTATATGGCGATCGGCGCCGCGAGCCGCCTTAACATGCGTGAAGTGGGGTGAGGCGCGTGCACCGCCACCAACATTCGCTTCCTTATATGGAAGCATGCGCGGCTAACCTTAACGGAGGGAGAGAGGGAGAACAGAAGGAAAGAGAGAGAGAGCGAAAGAAAGGATTCAGTTTTTTATCATGATGATGTTGACGACTTCAGCAATAAAGGTGGTAATAGAAATAAAATAGAACAGGCGACGAACAGGATTGCAGACAGGATTTGAAATGTATGTAGGGATGGATGCGGTTTAGCTTAACTGGATTCTCTGGTTGGCTCCTCCGGCGCCTGACGGCTTCCTGTCCTTTCCACCTTGCACGTCACCTCTTCATTTTTCTCTGAAATTTCCTTGTCACATTGAAAGTTATCTGCTGCTCAGCGCATTTTCGATATAATTATTCTGTTTATACAAGTTATTTATTTATGTTTCAATAAACAGAGTTAAAAAATGCAAAATATATTACAGAGAATGTATTTAAAGCACACTAATAAAATATGAATACAAATTAATGTCGTTTACTCCAGCACATTCACATTTCCAACTGTACAAGCACTTTTTGTGATTTTGTTATTGGGTATTGGTTTTTAAATGATCTTCGGTTACAGTACGGTGGCTGAGTAATTTTCCAATCGGCCCTGTGTCTGCTGGTACACTTTTGGGAGCCAACATAGCTTATAAATTGATTTGCCATTTATCTTCGCATCAATAATAGCTACTTTATATATACACAACAGCTATAATACTAAAACCTGAGTTATAGGTTTAAATATATCCGGCCATCTTGCCAGGTCCACTTATCTAGTGCAAGGTTTTGGCTAACCTGTAGCGTCACCAGGGAAACGCGCCAGGCACAAGGCAGAATATCCCCCGGATATTCTACACACATGCACAGCACACGACGGGAAACCAGCGCATCTAAACCACGCATCGATTGTGGCGAGAAAACCAGGGGAAACCCACAATTCAAACTAAACTGGAACTTTCTATTTAAGAAACGTGTAACCTGTGTCTTGCATTGCTATCATGCTTTCAACAATCTGACAAGCCTGTTCAGTATGAGTTACACATGCCGAATTTCTGAGTCGTATTTAAAGACAATGCAGACGGCTGGTTACTGTTAACGTCCTGTCACGGGTTTAAGTAAATTATCCCTATAGCTTCATTTACCGATGAAAGTGTTTAGTATTCCGGTAAACAGAACGCATGCCTCACATTTTATTCCTGGTACCGGTCTGGTACAAGTCTCCACCCACACAGAAATGTTACAATGGTGTTTTGTAGTAGACCAGGCTGGTTGGAAGTAAATGAATTTTCTACTTTTTTAAATTTAGTAGATGCTGGGTTACACAAAGTTGAGTTAAGCTTGTCAGTTTACTTAAGATATGCAATTTAACTTAATGCTAAACCAAAAGACATATCCAGAGAATATTCTTGGTGTCCAGCTAAAAATTTAAAAGACAAATTCACAATACAGCAATGCATTGCTTTTAACAAACGGTAAATCCGGAAGTATATGCGTTTCAAAAATAGCTAAATCATAGAAAATTAGGCACTTGTAGTTAATTGTCTCTGTTAATTGCTAACATTTTGCACCTTGACAGTGTGACCAAAAACTCCATTACCCATAATGCCCCATGCACGCCCATGCCCCTTTTCAGTGGCTGCCCGGTGTACCGTCATTGCACAGGCGCGCGTCCGTCTCTGTGTCAGTTGTCTGTGCGAGAACGGGACCGCATCGCCTTCCATTCAATTCCGATTAAGACGCCGACACAGAGACAACCATGGTATGTCTGTATTTTTTGCGCAAATGTCTCATTTCTGTGCCTTTAAGGGGTCGAAAAAAATCCACATTCGTCTATTACGAATTGTCAGGAATGGCCGTATTGCGTCCGTTTGGCTTATTTCGTCTCGTTTACTTATCTAATGGTTCCTTGTGTGTTAATTTCGGATGAAATCGCCACCACGGAACTCGCATACTGCATTTTCGCAATTTAAAATAATGCAATTTTAGCGGAAACCAACAGCATTTTTAGGAGGTTCTAATCTGAAGCGACGGATGCACATTTGGGTTTTTTTGGGGGGGGTCTGGTTCTATATCTAATGGTAATGCCGGGATACTGGAAGGAGAGGAAAAAATCCAAGGGGGGGGGGGGCACTGGCGCCATTTCCTCCATCATCCTTTTTGTGAGTCCGGGCCTGTCCTCCGTCTAGCGAGCCCGTGATCGCCCCTGTGTCTCCGGGGCTTTCTCCTGCCGGGTAGACGTACTCCAGCCGCCGCACGCACGCCATCTGCTCTATGGCGAACGCATGTAGTAAGGGAATACGAGTCGGCGTCGTAATTTTAAAGTGCTCCTGCTGGATCGGATCCCCTTTGTCGTCTGTGTAGGTTGACAGGGTGAAGGGGGAGTGAAAAAATCCTATAAATGCCATTTAATGGATCGGATGGCAGGTACTCCGTATAGGTGCCGCATCGCGGCTGCGAGCCGCTGTCGTGGCCTTGGGCGAGCAGTTCTAGTTGCATCTTTAATCTTTTTTATTTTTTTTTCCTATCTCAATGCACGACCAGACACCTTCGTAATGGCTATTTGAGCCCCACCCTAGATGAGGCAAGGTTTTATTATTGGATTTTTTTTCACTCGCCCACAAACACTTAAAAATTAACCCTAATAATTTGCAGACTTGGGGGTGACTCCTTACTGCCGCATTTTTTGATAAATAGCCGGCTACGTGACACGGCCGTGGTGCTTAGTCTTTTTTCCCTTTACCGTAATATTTAGTAGCTATTTCCTCCTCCTGCTCACGTCTTTTCCTTGTATCCTAATTACCAGTTCATGCCGAGATGGGCGCACGTACTGCAAAATGCCAGCCATGTACGGGGGGGGGCATTCAGCGAGGCATTATTTATGCGGTCTAAAATGGCGCTTTGGGTCGCTCTCGGGAAAAGATCACCGCCCGGTACGCAGAATCAGGTCGGGTGCCTCCGATGGCTGGGCGGCTGGCCGAGGCTTCCCCGCTGCGGGCGTGATTTCTGCTCTGCGGCGGCCGCGTTACGCACTTTCGCCGGTGGCCATGTTATTCCGCCGCACTCCTCCCTCTTTCTTTGTTCCACACCTTATCTTGAAAGGGGGGGGGTGGAGAAAGACGTTGCACCCAAGCGTACAGAAAACGTGGCTTGCGGGGAACAAGCCCTGCTTTGCCGGGTTTTTAATGGATCTGCCCGGATCTCACTTCTCACTGCTTAAAAAAAAAATAATAATAATAATCAAATTTTCCATTAGAATAAAATGCACGTCCGACAGTCGATCGGGGGTGTCTGCATGGCGGTATGGTGAAGCTGAGTGAGTCGGCCATCGCCTGGCAAGCCTCGGCAGGCGTTTGAAGGGGCAGTCGGCTTGTCACGGGGCTGCGCAGCGGGGTGTGGTTGCTCCGCTCCCGCACATGCGGCCGCATTGATCGGGTCGCTTGGCGTAGCAGCGGCCCTCGCTAGCGAATATAAATTAGGCTCGATCCACCATTTTGTTCCCAGTGTTAATTTTGAACCGGTCCAGTTAGCCACCCCCGTGTTATATTATGTCTTCTGGCGTTCTCGTCCCCTTTGGGCGTATTTCGGCCTTTTGCAGCTACAGCCGCGCTGCCCCGTTACAACCTGCGCCCCCCACTATGCGATTAAAGTTCAGCCCTTATCCGCATATCATAAACCCTTCTTACGTGATTTAAAATCTGAACTGGAAACTGATAAGATCTCATTAGCTTCTCCCTGGGTGTAACGAATTGTTGGTGACTAGTAACTGGTTTTATTGTTAAGTGTCTGTTATGGGCAATGCTGGTGATTAATTTTCCCCACGTTTTTCAGTATTGTAAGTGGCCGCTGTTTAGTGCAGTGCAACTGCAAAGCACCTTGTAGATAGAGGTGCCTTTTGAACATGGGGGATTCTACCCACCAGAGACCGACCCCTGTGCCAAGTACCGTCTTGTTTGACGGATCACTTATTGGTTGCTTTGCTGACTAATTTGCAGGCCACCTGACAGTCTTACAATGCTGAGTATTTCTTGCAGTGTCACTCTTGGTGATTTCAGATTATAGGCCTGTGTTGAACCCGCTCATGCCTAATTAGCAGTGCACTTTAAAGGGTTGTCACCTGGAACTAAAAGCTTTGGGCCTTGTGTTTGACAGTTATGCGACACGTCACCCTGCATGAAATGGCGTACCTTTCCGTTATGCTTCCCATAGAATTCTGTTGTATTTTAAAGGCAAGAATGTGCACCGTAAACACAATTGTAATGATTTTTTTTGGGGAAGGAACATTACCATGTCAAGCCTGGGTTGTTCTTGTATCTTGCAAACCAAGTTGTAGTACTTAAACTGTATGAGTATCATCTGTTAATGCCTAGTCCAGTAACTGTGGTTTGCTGTTCATCTCAGTTTTATTGAGGTTCATTTCTTAATGGCATGCAAGTTCCTTGTGGAAAATTTAGATTCGCAGTTTCCCACAGCCCTGTCAGATGTTTGGCTTTAACGTTGTAACATTTTGGGGCTGTAGCCCACCCGCATTTCTAGTGGCTGTACTCTAATCGCCTTGCCCTGATTCCCACTTACTGCATTTTGAATGAGTGTCTAGCAGAGAAGCGCAGCAATGAACTTGGTGCTAGAACTTTAGCCTTTGGGCCACCTAGTGGCCAGGGCTGATTATTGCACAGATTACTTGTCTGCCACATCAGTTTAGTTTGCTGAGTTTATGTGCTTGAGGATCAGGAGATGGCCAAACTGACTGTTGGTTCTCTGTGTCCTCCCCCCGTGGACATGTTTGTTTGGGGGGGGGGGGGGGGGGGTTGCCAAGTAATGTTCCAGCTGGTGTGTCCGCTGTACCACACACTCCTCGGCAGTTGAACAATTCCAGAAGTTCCGGTGGAAGGAAATCCTTATCTCTGCTTACCCTTGCTGTGACGGTGGTCTTATCCTGGTCAACACGCAGGGTGCGTTTTTGGTGTTGAGTGTGCATCTAATTTTCGACAACATTTTGGCATTGAATTAATTTGACACGTTAGTTGGTCTTCTACAGATTAGTCCTAGTGCAAGCTGTGTGACTAGAAAACTGTCCACACCAGCAAGCTCTTAAATTTGTCTGCATTCTTCCCACTCCCTTCCTGTCTGACCCCACCCTTCCTCTGTAGAAAACACCTTGGGGGGGGGCACTGCTTGCCTGCCTGCCTGCCTTTCACGTCCTGTCAGTCTGCTTTAAGCTGCAGGCAGCTGCAGGCTGTTTTTGCTTAAACTTTGATATCAAACTCGAGGATAGGCGGATGTCTGGTCCAGATGACGACTCTTTGCTTAATGCGCAGCGGGTGTTCGGCGCGTTCCGGAAATGCCCAAAGGTCGAAATGGTTACATTGGCACAGGCATCATAAACAAATTTTGCCTCGTTAAGTTTTGGTTTGGCTGTCGTGATTGGGCTCCCATTGCCGTTAAAACTGGCACTGAAATGTGCTGTTGAACGATCACCATAACTAGTTGTCAGCGTGTACAAGCCTGACTCCGCCAAGTGAGTAGGGGGGGGGGGGAATCAAAAGCTTACCACTACATTTTAAGGTATCAGTAAGACTGGTGATATTAGTGTCTTCTGAGTGCAGTGTTTTGTTCATGGGAATATTTTTGACGTCTCCAGTTTTAATACTTGCTTTCTCCAGTCCACATCAGCATGCTTGTTCCAACTGTAGAAACTAAGCCCTTGGAATTGTGGGAAATGGGCAGGATTGTCCATTCCACTTGTAGTTAGACTTGTTTGTCTCTTAATAATAAATGTGTACAAATATTACAAGAAACAGCGTTTGTTCACTGATGTTCCGAAGCTTGTTTGGGGGCACACAAGTGTGAATTTTCTTTCTTTTGCCTGTGGGGGGGGTTCTAGTCCTTGCTCTTAGTCGATTTAAGAAATACCCCCTTTTCCTGACCTTTTGCATTCCTCCCATGTCAGGCCTCCGGAGTAACAGTCACCGACGACGTGATCACAGTCTTCAATGACATGAAGGTGCGCAAGGCGCAGGCGGGCGAGGAGGAGAAGAGGAAGCGGAAGAAGGCGGTGCTGTTCTGCTTGAGTGACGACAAGAGGAACATCATTCTGGAGGAGGGCCGTGAGATTCTGATGGGCGAGGTGGGGGAGACCATCCAGGACCCTTACCTGCACTTTGTCAAGATGCTACCGCCCGACGACTGCCGCTACGCCCTCTATGACGCTACCTATGAGACTAAGGAGACGAAGAAGGAGGACCTGGTCTTTATCTTCTGGTGAGGAGGGTGGGCTTCAGCTTAGGCGCTGAGGTATATGGAGAAGTGGTTTCTGTATATGCTGTGTTCTGGATTGAAACCCCCCCCCCCCCCAACCTCTTTTCCCAGGGCTCCTGAGAACGCTCCACTGAAAAGCAAGATGATCTATGCCAGCTCCAAGGACGCCATCAAGAAGAAGTTCACAGGTGAGTGCTGGAGCTCCAGGCTAGAGTAGGGTGCACTAGGACCCTGGGGGGGGATAGCTTGTATGAACATGGCTTCTGCTAGTAGACGGCAGTCCCGTGGATGACCGTGTATGTAACTACATTTATGGCTGGTCATTTATTGGGAACACAGAAAAGCTACCCTGCGCGATCTGAGGAATCCTTGACGACCGTTCTTTCAGAATTACTGTGCCAGATCTTTTAACCAATAAACACAATACCCAAGTGTTCTACCTCATTACAGAAGATCTACAGTACTACAGCCACTGTTGTCCTTTCAGAGTCATGGAAACTGATGGATTTTCTTTTCCTCCCCTCTCTTTTAGGTATAAAACATGAGTGGCAAGTCAACGGTTTGGACGACATCAAAGACCGACGCACCCTGGCAGAGAAGCTGGGCGGCCAGTCAGTGGTCACTCTTGAAGGGAGCCCTGTATCAGTCTAGTCCCAGGCTTCAATCGAGGCCTGTAGGGGGTGGGGAAACACTACTATATCACATAGGGTTTGGCTGTTCATTCCAGTTTGGGACATAACGGGGACTGGGAAAACAAGCAGGAGGTGGGCAGGGTTGATGGGGTGGGGATGTGTGTTGGGTTAAACATTTCAATTTCTGAAATTTGAGGCTGTCATTTCAATTCAGATACATAATGGAGGACGACAAAATACAAAAGCGATTTAATGAAGGATGGTAAACTAAGAAATTGCAGTTCTGAAGGGTTGTGGATGACGTGCAGTTCGATGGGCTATAGGATCTGCTACAAAATGAAGGTGAAGAGGGAACTGGGGCAATGAGCTCGTTCTTGAATATTGCTGAACACTGTTTCTTCTTAATTATCTACCTTTTTATTTTGCCAAACTTCTAGTTTTTACATAATTGTTTAGCTGAGATTAGGTATAATTCAAGGACCATTTGCGTAAAGTTTTGTTTTGGTGGGGACATTTTCAGTGGGAGGCTGTATCGCACTTCCATGATTTTATTATTTTTTTTTCCATTAGTTTAACTTTGTGATTTAAACATAATTCCAGTTAAATATTACTTGAATATCATGTGATTCAAACCAAACAAATTGTGTGTTGGGGTGGGTGGGTGGGCGGCAAATGCATTCCTTTTACGAAGACGAATAATGGGTATCAACTGACGACGACTGAAATCTGCTACAGGTAGTGATGATTAGCGGCAAGGGTGCAGAGATGAAACGGCCTGCGACTGAGGTCAGAGAGGAGTGGATGGAAGATTTTGTTTCATCTCCTTATCTCTAATAAAAAAGCACTAAACTAACTTTCGTCTTTTTCTTTGCACCATGCTGTCTGTGACCGTTACCCTTGCTTACACATTCTCTCCTGACTGATTAATGCCAAAATTTTATATCTTTTGGAAGTAGCATAGTAACCTCACACTGTGTTTAGAGTTGATATGTTCTTTTTGGTGTTGTACAGCTGTCCCCTGGGTGCTCCTCCAGACACCACCCCCACCTAGAGCCCAAAAAAATATATAATTCTACTGAAATTGAAGTGTAAATGTTGGAAGGTCGCAGTTTTCCTATGTGATTTTGGCGGCCCCTGGTGGATAGTGGTGGTATTCACTCGTTCAAGGAAAGATGTCGTATGACCTAACTTAACTATGACTCAGGCCGTTTGAATGACCCCAGGAATACTGACAATGAATTCAATGTGCACCAGCGCGAGTGATGGAATAGCTTCCAAATGCAGCTGGTTACCTCGTGATTTGACTTGATTTGATTCTCCGACAAAAGGAGAATGAAGGGCAAGGGAAGAAATGCAATTGGAGTAACGTATAGGTGTGTTGTTAAAAAGAGTTTGTCATACTTTGTGGGAATGTTTTTAATTAGCCGGAAAGGCAATTCCTTTAGCTCGTAATGTATGATATAGAGTTAGGATGGAGTTTCCTTGATGAAACAAGTAAAGATAAGTAGTAGAGACAGATATCAGTTTTATTCCAAAGATCTCTTCTCTATCTGCAAACGCTGATTCTGTTCTGCTCTTTATCCCGATCTGAGCTCCAACTCTATGATAAGCGATGAAAGGTTTGATTAATCACCTTTTAAGATTAGATTCTGTGCTACTTTTGTCCACTGGGTGGCGCCACACTCTTTCCCCCTTTGCAGCAGAAGGAACAGCCACAGTATGGCATAAAAGGGATGCAGACTCACGTATGAGAGTTGTACGTCTCAGTTTTACTTTGCGACTACTATAAATATTTGGCCTAGGCTCATAAGTAGTAGTATCGAGTGTGTCTCGTGTTCAATAAATGGATTGTATACGATGATGCAATCATGACGTAGAATTTTTAAGATACACTGTGTTATTGCACGCATGGATGTCTTCCCTGCACACATGAATTTCAATCTTCCACCCCCCTGTTTTTTTTTTTAATTTTTCTCATTTTCAATATCCCCGCCCCAATTTAAACCATTTACATTTTAATCTTAAGCTGGTGTAATAGCATATTCATGCTTTTTAAGGACTATAATTGTGATGAATACAGTAGGCAAACATAAGTCATGCCCTTGAATAAGGCACGTAAGCAAAATTGCTTCAGTTAATGTATGAAACTGCAAGCTGTGTAAGTCACTTTGACCATAAGAAAAAAAAATCTGTTACGCAAATAAATCACTAGAACTGCTTTCTCAAAAACCTCTACGTGGCAAACAGGAACGATGATGAGGCAGAAAAAGCACTGCATCCGTACCCCAGCTATCACTGGCTGATGTAATTTATTCCGGTCTTTCTTTCCATAGAACCTAACACCGTCTTTGTTGCTTTTCTCTCTGTTACCCGCGTGCCCCGACACGCCTACAATTCATGCTATGAATGGGTGGGAATAGCGAAAACGGCAAGCAGGTGGTTGTGTCCGACCACTGTCCGGTAGAGGGCGCCACATCTCCCATTCCGCGGCATCACAGGTGGGTCCAAAGACTGGAACGTACCTTCAAGTCCAGTCAAATTCAATATGCACATGACGTGTGAAATTCACCGAAAGATACTAGGTTCAAAGTGATGTATTTAAGCTGATGCTATGAGAAATCACAACTTGTTAGCCAATCCAAAGGAAATTCTGGGGTGAACCACTTTTGCTGCAACACCAATTAAATCATTCAAGCGCCAACATACATGGTAGTTTCAAATTACTCACAGCATACTTCCTAAAAGCCACGTCAGTTCTCTGTGATGTACTATACCATGGCAGGAATTCGGATGTTTACTTTGTCAGGCTAATCGTGTCTCTGGCTAAAAGATTGTATCTGGTAAGAGACAAAAACAGCCGTAAATGTTGCAACTACAAAAAGTGAAATTCCAACCGGCTTTTCTCGTTGTTCGGGTTCCACGTCGTCTTTGCGTGAAAATGACAGAGACGATGCCTGCAGGTCGTACCACTGACCATAAGCGGCAATCTGAATGACCTCTGCTGTACAGAAGCGTGACATTAAGAAATTGTAGACTAGGTGTGCTGATGGCAATCATAAATACATGCATTAACATACTATGCTGATGCTCTCTGATAACTGTTAAAACATTTCAAGCGGATATAAAGAATGGATGTGTATAATACTCTTAATGTTATCTTACCTGAAGGCAAACTTAATATTTTAGATTTCTCCATGGGACATAATAACAGAGACAGTGAGAGAGGTAACTGCTGTACAGACACCGATTCCAAACCGATTAGCATACTTTTAACAACATCGAAGGAACACTCACCACTTCCACTCCCTGCTTATTCTTTCGAGAGAATTGTTTTTTAATCCAATTTATCCAACTTCGGTGACAATGTACTCGGTAAAATTATGTAGTAGTGCACTCTCACTTAATGTATTTAACCAGAAATTAAGTGTTAGTTACGTACTGAGCCCACGCTCGTTCATCATTATTCAACATGACGGTTCGTGTATTTTTTTACGATCAGTAGTCATTGTGGACACAGCACAATGTGACATAGCAGGGGGCAACTAATTCGGTGCCCAGGAATCAGTGCTTGGGGGCAGCACCTTACTCAGGGTACCTCAGTGGTGCCTTGTTGGTGAGGGATTCAGACCTACAATCTTTCAATTACAAGTGCACTTCCCTAACCATTAAGCCACCACTGCCCACCATTGCATACTCTTACTATTGATTTGTACTCCAGTAGTAACTGAGTTATTAAGTTACTTGTGCCCCCTCAAGTAATGTGTTAGCCCATCTCCCAGCGTTTCAAGCATATACAAATGCCGCTTGACATAAACTAGTCAGTGGTCGTCCAGTCTGTAAATCCAGCGCAGTGTGTCTCTGCAGATATTTGTATAGTTCAGGGCAAAACTCGTGCACCATCAAATCATTCTCCCTGGAGGAAAATCAGGAGCACATGCAGGACATACACAAAGAAAAATTGGTAAAAATTTGTACCTTTGCTTGTAACTGGGCCTGTATCCTCAAGGGTCTGCTAATTGTACCCTGAGGTGTAGGGAACATTTTGAATGTACAGAAATGGACTCTGGGGAACATTTCTGTACTATTGATGGTACATTAATGTTGTTTGTACCTTTGGATGTTCTCCAGAGTCCAATTCTGTACCAAAGTACAATTCTTGTACTTGTACCTTAAAAGGTACAAGTACAAGTGTACAGCCCCAGTGACATGCAAAGGTACAAAATTTTACCCTTATTTCTGAGAGGGTATAGACAAGACAGACACTGCACAGTGGTGAATAAAATAGCGATTCACAAAGCACTTCGCGAGAATGTTTATTTCCAGGTGAAGACACAAACACAGGTTTTAGACTGAAATTAAAAACGCAAAGTGACGTGAATATGTGTGAAATATTATATGAGAGGAAATGGAAGAAAGATGAAAAACAGTAAGGGGGATGTTAAAAAGGCAAGAATACGGCCAAAAATAAAGTCAAATTCCTGTGATCTTGGGTAAGAAATGTATGCAATAGTTTTAAATCCTGAGAAACAACGACTAATAAAAACAGTGTGTTTTTTAAACAGTACATCTGAATGTTTTCTCTCTTTACATTTACCCTCTTTGGTTTTGTCCTCTTCCCAAAATCCTCATTACTGCAGTAGTATTTTGTCGTGTAAGGAGTAGGCTTAGTGTGTGAGTCTCATTTTGAAGATATTATCACAGCTATTGAAGATATCATCATGCTTTATACACAGTAGTCTCATTCATAAGTCCACCAGTACACTTAAAATTGTGAATTTTTTCCTGCAGTTTGTAGAAACCTTCATAAGTCTTTTGACCCCCTGGTGTTTGGCGTTTACTCCCCCCCCCCCCCAACACCACCCACCATCACAATGCCCCTTGTCTCATTAATTACCCCAAACAAACCCACGCCCTGCTCGCATACACACGCCTAGAAACTGAAACGCCAGAAACAATATCCAACCATTCACGAGTCACAACGGTGCAGATAAGAGACAACAACACAACGCGACGATATGGGTCGGCCATTTTAAAGATGCTGATATGACACGTGGATAAATTATTCAGGAGGGTAGATGTTTGGCATGAGGCAGGAATGATATGGGAAAGTGACGTGACAATTACAAAAAAATAAGGTGATTGCGAGAGAAAAAAATGCATGGATGCTGTAAGGAGTTATGTAGAGCTGTGATGACATTTGTGAATGTGACAAAACACTAAATGGTAAGCATGACAGGTAATCACTTTATCGGATATCACAATAAGAAGTAAACTTTATATAAAAAGAAAAGCATTATTATGTATCTTTCACATTTTCAACCTTGGATGCATTCATTTTCTACTCTTAATTGCGCCAGTAAAGTCTGCTCCATTCAGCTACGTTGCAAAAAATATCAAAGTTTGCACGACTTCAAAATATATTTGTTTTGTTAATTGCAAAATTCAACCAATTATGCAACGATAAAGTATACTAGGCCTATCAAAACCTTCAACACGAAAATATTCCTATTTAAAATATTCCATTCTTATAAAATTTAGTGGCCAAGATTTAAAAGCTCCTAGAAATGAAGGGTTCCCAGAATTAAGCATCTCCGGATGGTGGAGACGCCAAAGCTTTTACCTACCAGCCCAAGTCGTTCCCTTTGACGACTGATTATATCGTCTGTCGCGACTATGTTAGTCTCTAAACATTGTCACCAGCTCCCTCTCCTCGTTTCCAGTAAACTACCCAGAAGAAAAAAAAAACCGGTCGGACAGGTAGAGCTGCAGCAGCCGCCTTGGTCAGGTTGTCACCGTTATTTCCACACGCATGCGCCATGTTACCCTCTTTCCTGCCCGAAGGTGCCTTCGTCTTGCTGGGCTTTAATACCTGTTAGAATGGCGATCTAACTAACGGGATTTCTGCGTTTCAGGTAAACCAAAGACCGCAAATGTGAGGGGGCACAGGAAGGCGGTTTTAAGTTCCCAGCTGAGACAAGTTTGTATTAACCGAGTAAATGGTAGAGAGAGAGAGAAGGATCAGAGAAAGAGGAGAGGAAAACCTTAGAACTTCGCTGATGAATGAAAAAAGGGGGGAGGAGTGTATGAACTAAAGTAACCTAACCTGTGCCGTTTTATTGTACAAAGGAGTTGCGCGCCTCACCTATAAAAGCTGAAAGTAGTTGCTGCGTGTTTTTTCTTTTGCCGATTGCACTTTTCCTGTTCTGGAAAATTGGAAAGCGGGAGAGAGAAGTTAGGTTAGCGGAGCGGGAGATTGAAGGATGCCCCGGGCCTTTATGGTGAAGAAGGTGAGCGTTTCACCTGGAAAGCGGAACTGGAGCCAGCTGCCGGACCACGAACGGGGAGAGATCTACGTGCCGGGTGAGATGTGCAAATAAATGCGTCAGATGTTAAAGTAACCAGCGCAGAAGTCACAAAAAAGTCACATAAAAATTTGTGGAAAATGAGAGAAGGAATAATGTTTTTATTCTGGAGCTAGTTGAAAGACTCGTGTCTTTTATTTTGAAATAAATTCTTGGTAAAAAAAAAAAAAAAGAGCCTAGATAAATCAGATAACGGTGAATACAAAGGGTGCAAATCGCTTTGTGTTGACACTAGGAAAGGTTACCGCTACAGACAACCCTGAAGCGGTTTGAGACTGTAGTTAGTTGCTTAAAACGCAAGAAAATACTCGGGTAACTTATTTACAACTAATGTTGAAAAAACGTTTTACTTATCTGTCCATCTTTAGTTCTGAGAAAGGTGGGAAATGTAATAAATATTGTGTATTTAACAAGGTTAGTGGTAATATGACCTGAGTATTTAGAGAATTTAGTAAAAGACTCGTTTTAAAAGATTTTGGCGTTTTGGATCCAGTTCAGTGGTTCTTGGCTTTGATAACGGCTTCTTCAGACCTGTTGACCTTTTTGGGGAAAATGCCACCTGCACTGTCTTTTGGTTTTGATTTTGAGGGCTAGTTAGGCTTTTTGTGGGAGGTAATTCTCACAGCTGAAGTATGAGACGCGACCTGCAGGTCTGATTCATTCTGTGATGAATGTCTGCGCTGGTTACTTGACGGGTTAATATTTACTGTGCCGAAGGAAATAACGGATCGCTAGCGGTGAGCTCTGACCCAGTTAACCTGCCCTAGTCTTCGGTGTCAGTAATTCTGCAGCGCACTCCTTAAGTAAAATAATGTGTTTTTTTGCTTCACTTAAGTATTACGTAATTAGAATACAGTTCTTTCATTATAACCAGAGTTGTGTCCATTATCCTTTATTTAAGTTTGTGGATGTGAAACGTTTTCTTCCGAATCAGGTCCTGTGTGTGAACAGTGTTAACCATTTACCCATCGCATGATTATCTCGGCAACCCCGGATGGAAAGCAGGAAAACGAATTATCCGTTTCACGACGCCAGAACAGTTTTGCATAGGCCTACATATTTAAATTTCACTCTTCTATTGCGTTCACGTTCACACCCCATTTAAATAAACACTATAATTAAGATGTTGGCTTACGACCATTAACAATCAAACCGCGTTGTGATGAAGTCAGCAGATGATTTCAGTTATGGCAGATTGAAAGCAGGTTTGAGAGCACATTGTGATAGTATTTGTAGTCTTGGAGATAGTAAACAAGACGAGTCTCTTCTGTTAGACCGTTATTTGCAAACTTGTCTGCAATTTAATCTGGTATTTAACAAAGCTGGTTATTGTTTCGCTGCACGAGAATAAATGGCGTGCAGGGGAATTGCTTTTGGAACCTTAGCAATAACTCCATTTCGGTACATGCGATCTTATTTTAAGCATCCCCTTAAAATATTCATTAGTCAAACAGTACAAACAATCATTGGCACAGGCTTTAGATTTGCAGAACAGCGGACTGCGGTGAATGGATAACGTTGGATTATTTTGAACAAATATTTGTACATATTTTAACATTTACGAGGTGGGCACACCCGGATAAGTACACATGAACGGTTTCTGGTGGCATAAATGGTTCTTCTTTCTGTGTTTCGCGTTCATTTGGTTTGCTTGCTCGTACTTCTGATGGTGGCAAACGGGTCCATAGGTTCCTTTACTGCAGCCCAGTCAAATGAAAATTATGTCAAAGTCTAGGAACTTTTCACCGCGTTGTACTTGCACTTGTGACGTCAGCTGCAACACTCACAGACGCCACAAGAGGGAGACAGTGATGCAGTCTGTTTATATCAATTCTGTTTGAACCAGCTAGATGTCGGCTGCATTGAAAATGGGGAATGAATAGATATATATAAATGGCGTTGTGATAAATATTCCAATTTGACTCTATTGACCAGCCATTAAGATAATCTTGTGTAACTGCTTCAATAATAATCATGCTGTACAGAGATTATTGGTCTTTCTGGGTAGCAGAATTCCAGGAGACCAGTAATGGTGTACTGAACCGTTTCTGTTCCTCCTTTGCGTTTCATCTCAAGGTCTGCCCCATGGCATCGAACAATCTGAGGCCAGTCCGGCGGAGTCGACGTGGCGCGAGAGCCACGACAAGCACACGCAGATACGCGAATGCGACCTGCGCTTGCAGGCGGCCGAGTTACCCGCGTGCAGCGCCCTCGGTCAGCGAGCTCCGGGGCACGAGGATGGCACTGGCAGCCAAGAAGTCTTCCTCCGTACCAAGATCAAGGTGAGAGACTGCAAATTATTTGTGTGCCGGAAACGGCACCCCCTAGGGGCTGGTGGGTGCAGCAGAAGTTGTGTGGAAAGAAGTGCAGCATATTTTGAGTGTGTGTGTGTGTGTGTGTGTGTGTGTGTGTGTGTGTGTGTGTGTGAAGGAAGATCAAGTGACATACGTGAGCGTGAATCACTCCTTTTAACGTGAAAGGGCTACCAAGAAAAACACTTTTGCCTTCCGTCTATCTCTGACTCGATCTCCTTCCCACGTTTGACCAGGTCACCACGGGCAAGCTGCCCGTCACAGAGACGCCGTCTCCCGCCCCGGCCGCCTTGGCTTCATCTCCAGCCGGGACGCCTGCGCTCGTCTGTCAGGTGTGCCACAAGGGCTTCCAGCAACAGCGTATGCTGAAGCGGCACCTCAAATGCCACAGCGACATCAAGAGGCACCCGTGCAGTTATTGCGGCAAGGGTTTCAATGACACCTTTGACCTGAAGAGGCACATCCGCACGCATACCGGTGAGCGTTTGACCGTCACGTTCCGGAACACGCATCTTTCATGCCCGCCTTCCCACACACAAAGGTATTCCTCTCTAACATCTGCTCGTACACTGATTCGGCACGCGCCTCTCTTCATGTCCGCAGAGTCGCACGAATCGCTGGGCGATGCCGGACGTAAACTAGTGAACCGGTTAGGATGTCAACAGAGAACTGACATTTTAAGCATCTGTAACCAATACCTGTCTTTACCTAGTTTGACCTACACTGCACTGCAGGCCTGTAGCCTGAAATAAATTTCATGGGGGGGGGGGGGGGAGGTTCCAAGATGAATTTTATCAACCAGGGACCTGAAGCAAATTTTGGGGGGGGGGTGAAATTATGTCAAATCCATAATTTCACTACACGCATACGAGCCTGCTATACAGTTACATTCAGGGCAAAAAGTACCTTTCTGTTTCCACTTAAGTTACCTGAATTACATGTGAAATTGTATTTATTATTGTTAATAATAATAATAATTTATTGATTGTATTATATAATTAATTATAATAAATAATATTGGTGAGAATATGATTCTGCGCCGATTATTCTTAAGGGACATGACAGTATTCACTTTACACGCTTCTTGCTCTCTCGCTTAGCAGCTTGGATGTTCTCCCTCTCCTACCGTCGATGCTCTACTTGCCCCCGCACCCCTCCTCCCCGGAGTCTGCCCCGCTGAGCTGTCCCCCCACCCCCCTCTCTCCCCAGGCGTGAGGCCCTACAAATGCAGCCAGTGTGAGAAGGGCTTCACCCAGCGCTGCTCGCTGGAGTCCCACATGAAGAAGATCCACGGCGTGGCGCAGCCGTACGCTTACAAGGAGCGCCGTAGCAAGCTGTACGTCTGCGAGGAATGCGGCCATACCGCCAACGCGCGGGAGGCTCTGCGGCGCCATCTGGAAACCACGCACTCTAGCGCCGCCCTACTGGCGAAACCAGGTGCCCCTGCAGTTTCTGGTAGGGAAGACGAGGAGGAGAGGGGTCTTTCTTGGCTCCCTGAACTCCCTAAATGGCCGTGCTAAGGTCCAGAAGGAAAGAAAGGGTTAAATGAAGAAAAAAAATGACAATATGGTAACAAGCTGTTACTGAAGAAACCCAGGGAAGAGGAGCGTTTGGCGATGTGCCGAGGAACACCTGTGACGATGTGAACTCAATGTGACACTTGTTAAGCATGAACCAGTAAGGACTGTAGATATGCTCAGAAAGATCTGGAAGCTCAGAAATGTCTGCAAGTCATAAAATCCCTCAAAGTGCCCTCGATACTCTATTACAGTTTGGTTCTGCTGAGTTGTTATTGCAGCACAAATGCAGCTTCCCTTGGGAGCACGGGGCCTGCTCTGCTCTGCCTGCACTGGTGCATCCTGTTAACTGGCCCCTGACCAATATTTGGTCACTATATGAACACCTATATGATTCGGTTACCCTGTAGCCTGGATCTATCTGAAGTGAGGGATTAGATGCCGTGGAAATGTTAGACCAGCATATCATTTGCTTAGGACAAGGAGGGAATCGCTGGCCGGATGAAATCCAAGGTCGCGTGTCTCATAACAAGCACGTGTCCCAACTGATTAATAAAACCCATTAACGGCGACGGCAAGGATTCTGGCTATTTTAATGTTCGTTAATAAAGTCTTGAACTGGATTAAGCTGCGATCAGACACAGTGTGTCTCACACTTCGGGAAGCCTGTATTGTGCGTTGCGTTTAATTTCCTGTTTTCGTAATTGACCCGTTCCGTAAAAAAATATCCAGCTCTATAGAGAGTCAAACTGTGGGCAAAAGTCGAGCTGCTTTGAATAAATTGAGTTTTTACTTTGAAGAGACAACAACCAACCCGTTTCTGGGGGGTCATGCAGCTTCTGGGTGTGTGTAACTGAGATGGCTTTTTTGGGGAAAGTTAGCCGGCCCAGATTAACGGCGATCCTGCTGATTGCATTAAATATACCAAGGGCCGAGAAATTAATTTTTGATTATGCTGGTGTAACTGTATTCTACGATTTTTTTTTTTTAATCTTTGAAGGAAACATGGCAATTAAGCCCCGTTAGCTTTTGAATATACCTCAGTCCGTTACTGTGTCTTTCCTGCTGACAGCCTTAACCTAAAATGACTGTGTGTACTTCAGACAAACAAAAACTGTATACATGTATATGAATGATTTTTTTTTTGTATCCCAATGTTTAGTACTATATGATTCTTTTTTATAGATGAATATATCTTCTTTCGTAAAGGCGTTATGGCCTCGATATCTTATTTTGGTATTTTAGCCCAACGGGAGGTTTTTGATGTAACACTAAGTGGAAATAGCTGGCATTTTCTTAATGTTCAGTCTCGGTACCTCGCACGGTTTGTCTTTTCCTGGTTCATCCCAGCACTTTCTCCACATGTAAGATGTCGATGATGTATAACACTTTTTATTATCGTAATATTTGTGATTCAACATACTGAAAATACGGTGATCCATGCATTTTCTACGGAAAATAAATTTCGGATACTAATGTGTTTGTGTTTTATTTGCACTGGTTGGGCTTAATCATGAATTTATTTGAATTTTATTTTTCAATTTTATTAAAATTGTTCTGGTACCGTCACTGGTACACCTACATCTACTCGTATTCGTAGGTACCCTGTTTATATTGCGCATTGTACATGAAATGATAGATGTATTTTTAAATATTTTAATATTTTGTATAAAGTTAATACTAGTTAATAGTATTTTTAAAATGCATGTCTTTTTACGCTGGTACCAAACTTTAAAAAAAACTTATTAAAATAGCCACGCAGTTTTTTAACTGTATGCATGTAGACAAATTTCCAAAAAAAAATAGCCATTTAAATGAAAAATGATCAGAATAAAATCCAAGACTTTAATGAGATGCAGGATGAGAAACCTCGCGGCGCCATGCATATGCAGCGTAAGGTAATGTGCAGAGTCACCTGTGTAGAAATAACATGAGGTATTATTATGAGGTGGGAAGTTCGGCCACTTGGTCCAGGGTGCTGTGAGATAATGTGAGGTCGATGCTCGCATCGGCACTGCTATTACGGATTTTGCGTATTCTCTCCGTGTTTCCTCCCGAGGTTTGGGGTCCCTGGCGTAATTTTGGTGTGTATTTGTTTATAAGATCTGTGTACTCGAAAATGTGATCTACCGTTGAACATTTATTACTCTGTCGCGTTTCGCACGCGCGTAAAACAATTTTACCCAAATTAATTAGACTAATTAAAACGAAAGGTATTGTTGGCCCGGATACTGATTAAATATTTTCGAGCAGATATCACTCGGGAGACAAGGATTTGTGTAAAGTCCGCGTGTGCTCAGGGAAAGTCGCCTGCCGATAATTTTCTAATTTAACAGTCAATGTGATGTCATTGTGAGGGGGAGACGCCAGGGAGCGTCTTAATTCGCCATCTATTGCGCTCACTCCATCTTCAGTCCATCCCTCCCCCGGCTCCCGTCGGACAGAGCGGCAGACGCACGCACTACCGTCCCTGGACCATTCAGTGGGTCACCACTATCCAAGAAAAACAACTACAGGTGAAAGTAATAACCGTAATAAATAAAGCGGCTGTCGGAGAGGATCGCGGAAAGGGCGACGGAAGAAGGTGGGATATTATTTACGGAGGATAATGCGTGAAAGTCGCCTTCGCTGCTGTCGGAGAATCGGAATAGAGCAAGCGGTGGATGGGGTGACATACCCCACAAGGAGGTGCCGAAGCTGGCCCGCCGGGTGGTGCGCGTCCTGGACCGGTCTCCGGTGCTGACGGGCGAGATCCGGAGAGGGGGGAAGGAGACAGGATGCAGGGGGTGACGGTGACCGGAGAGGCGCCCATTCTGAATGGTGGCGGGAGGGAGGAGGTAAGGGAAATAAGTGTATTTTTGTTGGTTTGTAGATATAGATGTTTATTTGGGTTTGTGTGTGTTTCTCTGTGTGTAATGGGGGAGGGGAATTTGTTTATCTTTGTCCCTGGAATTTTAATCGTCACGTCTGTTTTTGTTGTTGTTGCTGCGGAATATTAAAAATGTATTTGAAATACACTGTGCTATTGTAATCGGAATATTTATTTGGTATCTAGTATGATAATATCGATTACGTTACGAGGTTCCTTCATGTCGTCACAGAAAATGTGCTGCATAGAAATTAGGTGAAGGGGAAATGAATGATGGGGAATGACTTCAAGAGTTTTGAACCGCTGCGATTTTTCTACCTTATTGCGTGCATGTTTCCATATATACGCGATTATCGTTTATCAAATTATTGACATTGCATGTTTGACAATATACATAAATAGGTATATTTTTCACGCGGAGTTAATGCACCTGTTTATGTCATCACTCGTCTATACTTTTTCTAAAAATTATTTCGAGTGGTAGTGGTTGTGGGGTATGGGAGAAGACGGGAGCGCGCTTCTCATCAAACTGTGAACACCGGCTGTATGGGGACGAAGAATCGGGGTCAGCTTTTTCCCATACGAGGTTAATTCGCATGGTCAGAGCAGCTCGCTCTGTCGTCTGTAGGTACCCATAATAATATCTCAGGGGCGCACTTATCGCCTTGGTGCGTCGCTATTGCATCAGAATCACTACGCCGAATGACGGCTGTTCTTTAATCAGCTCCGCCGGCGCTTTGCTGGCTGTTCCCTGTCCTCTTCTCGTACCATCACGCTCCCGGTGTTTCCCCCTCTCATCCACTGCTCCTGCATTGCAGTCGACGACGGTACCCCATCACCGCTACTTCCATTACCGACCCAACGCCCCAATCGCTTTTTCAAACCATAAAAAAATATTCCATGTTTATGTATTGCCTATCATCCTCCTTCACACTGGGACATGGCCGCTGAATGTTTATGTCTGGCTGGCACGAAAATTTTATGTTCCAAAACTACCAATCGAGTAAAAAACAACGCAAATGGAATCGGTCTGAATAATAATAATAATAATAATAATACGCCAGAATGTTGTTATGAGTGGACGTCTGTGGTCTTGGTGAGGACTAGGAGGGGGTGAAAGAATTACAATAAAGATTCTGCAAATATAAATATTAGACAACATAGGCCTAATATTATAACATTGTATAATAACTGTATTTATATTTAGGCATACAGTTAGTACGTTTTTTGGTGCTACCCAGAAATATCTAGTAAACTATAGAGCAGAGCCCAAACATAACTTTTTTTCATAATAACTAGATAGAATTACCAAATGCACATTTTTAGGTGGCTTGTTGCCATTTTTCATCTTGTTTTAGTGATAACAGCACACAAAAGTCCCCTCCCCCAATTTGCCTGTGATTGATGTACATAGGAACCTTTTGTAAATTAGCATAAGAACCTAATCAATATGAATTAAAGAAACCCAGTTCCTTTTGAACCTATGTGACAATTACCACAAGCAACTAGAAGAGTCTCGACCAACCAATCAGATGTTAGCCCTTCCTCATCTAGTTGCTTTGACCCACCTCCTCTACAATCTGATTGGTTTAGAACTTGTCTGACAACTACCACAGGATCTATGAAGCACACTGCTCTGTATCGTGCTTAAGTCCTATTGATCCAATTATGTAAATACAGTGCAGGGAGTAAATGTAGTTCAAAGACTCTGCCAGTATTTGTAGACAGGAATCCACATTAGTTGCTTTTGTCATCACATAATCTGGATTTTTTTTTTGTTCTACAAACTAATGACAGAGGGGATGTGACACAATGGACTTGGTATCAATTGTCAGTCTTTAAAAAGGAACAAAACTGACAGTAACTCCGCATGACGGAAAACACTAGCACTTCTCCCTCAGATCAGGCTTATATTTCCAGAACAGAATCCTTTTTTTTTTTCCTTCTTGTGAAACATTCATCCATTGGACGGAAGCCTCCAGACCGTGCCCGCGTATGTCAGGCGTGCCTCACCGAGAGGTTTAATGTTGCTGGAGTGACTGCATTTGTCTTTGGCCTGGAGCCCAGCAGTGGGGGGATTGAGCTTGACCGTTATGTTAATAACAGGAAATACAAGTGGAGACGAGCTGGAGAGGAGGGACGTGTGAGTCTGCGGTGCAGGACAGAAGGATGTGGGGAAGCGTGCGGCTGATGCGTATGCTGAGTATTATAGGATGTATATATGCTGAAAGCCGTAAGATCTCTAGGAGAGTTTAGTAGTCATGGGAACGGCCAAAGTCACACTCAGAGGTGCCACCGGTGGTGACCTACCTTTCTGGCACAGGTCACACGGTACAGTGACACTGAAAGCGGGGTGCTAAATGAGAAAGGTGGCATTATTGTCACGTCGTTTTCCCTCCAATTAAGCTCCTAGTGCCTCAAGTCAAAGTATCTTCATTGTCATCTTCAGCCACGTCATCCACGGGTCATAGGCTGAGAAGAAATGGAGATGTGTATAGGAGACGGATAAAAGACAGAAAAAATACAGTTGCACAAAAGGGGAATGAAATTGAATGGACAGGGACGTACAATGAATAGAATCAAACTGAATTCTATGTATAATAAATATAATTACAATTTGTGGTCATTGAAACATACACAACTGAAAGCCAAACATGAGTCTCCCTCATACCACATGCTAGTAGGATGATGCTGAAGATCATTTGATGCAGACGAGAGGCCAACATGGAATGGGAATTTTCCATGGCACAGGCTGGATTCAGGAATGGTGGACGAACAAGTGGGTCCAAGCAACCAGAGGAGGCAGGACCAACCAATCAGACGTCTTGGTCCCACCTCATCTAGTCGCTTTAACCCACCTCCTCTACAATGCTTATTAGGGAAGTTAAGGAGGAATGAAAAGATGCTGGCTAATTTTGGGCAGCATAGGACTGGCTAACACTTTGGGTTGTAGACCGCTTTTGTCTTGGAACAATCATCGATAACAAAGGATCCAGCTGTCAAGGAAAATGCTACAGAATGGGACACAGCTGAGCTGACAAGCCTCCAAGAACCTAGAAAGAGAGTCTCTGACAGTACTGACGTGTCTAAAAACAAAGACGAGAATTATTCAGAAAGTGGTATTTTCTGTCATTATTTAAGGATGTGAAAACCGGACAATGAAGGAACAGGGCAGGAGTATTGATGCCTTTGAACTTTGGTTCTGGCTGTAATGGACATTAAGGAAGGCAGATAAGTATATTCCTGACTCTACTCAAAGCACAAAATTACCAGATTGTTCTTATTTTGGGCACAGAATTGGACTATTTATTTGACGAGTTCAAACTAGAATGGTACAATCAGCAACATGACTCAGGCTTTGGACTGGTGATAGAAACTTCCGGAATAATGCTGAGGAGTGTTGTCTGCACAATCACGAGGTGTTGGCTTTGACTTGACAGCAAATGTTTTTTATTAACAGATAAAAATCGAGAGCTGTGACGCTCTGTCAAGGAGATGCAGCATTTACTCTAAATTCCATGCACTGCATTCGTGTGTCGCTTTTTGTAAGTGCGCTGTGATTGGTTGGTTTTAAGTCTTCTTGCAAGCGCCCTATCAATAAAGGTGGATGACCGGTCAGACACGCCCTGCGGGACAGATGAGCGTGCTTCTGATTGATTGGCAGTTCGACTAACAAATCATGCGACAGCTTGGACATAAACAGTTTGAAAAGGTGATAAATGACAGGAAAAATAATGTTCGTCCCCGCTGCACGACGCCACCAGACGCTGTCAGTATGGAAGCAAATAATTAATTATCCAAGATGCATATAAAGTTAAAGAAAGGTTTAAATGAGTCGTCCCTGTGATGCATAGCTGCATGATGTAATGTGCTAAACTATTAGCTAGGGTGTGTTACATATATGCATGCCACTGTATTTTCTCATTATAACCAAGTCTTTCAGGATCGTTCTGAAGTCATGCCACACTATTCCTTAAAATAGATTTCTCTGAGATGGATGAAGGAATGAGAGCAGGGAGGGGATTTGATACAGTGGCAAACAAAGTAGAAAAGCCTTTTTTTTTTATTCTTCATTCCAATTCTCCTCCCCGGAGACACACTTCCTTGACTCATCTCTCCCTCCCTCCTTCCCTCTCTTTCATCCTCTCCTCCGGAGCCTCGAGCTCTGCTTTCTCACTCTCTCGTCTTCCGCCCATGCGCACCCCTGCTCCTCCCCGGCTGCTTCTCGCACCTTCTGGAAAGTCACGTCTCCCGTTTCGTAACGGGAAAGTGGGATCCAGAGGTGCGGCGATGAGAGTTGAAAGTCGGCCATCTTCGCCCTGAAGTAGCCGCATGCCCCCGAACACAAGGTCGACCACCTTGGCCGTGTCTGTCTCTTTAAAACTCTAGACGAGTATTACTCATCATAAACAGAGACATTATACAGCCAAGGCATCATTTCCAAGTAGCTAAAAGAATGCACGTGGGCGTCCTCTGGATTGCACCACCGTCATATTGTATCATGGATGCACAACGTTGGAAATGCAGCGAACCCCAAGCCCTGTTCCCTGTCTGTTACCCAGGGTCACTAAGCTAACTTCGCAGCTTCTGTTACAGCTTGATCAATAGCCAGGGAGACAGAAGGAGAGAGAGAGAGACGGGAGAATGAGGTTCGGAACGTATGATGCTGGGTTTTGCTGCTAATGGTGTGCGGATGCTGCGATTCCCGTCACGCCTCGTCGAGCGCCTTTCCTGCGACCTCTTCCTGCGGCCCGCCGCACCTCTGGGCATGACGCTCGTTTCAGTCCCTGTGGCCCGGGTTTCTGTCAGCTTCCCAGATCTGCCGTCCGCAGGTAAGGCGGTGATTTGCGGACGGTAGAGAGAGGGCACTCGCATCCCGCGAGGGTGCCTCCTGTTGTATCATCCACCAAAACACTCGACCTGAATTGCCCCGGTCATCTATCCGGGTGGCTCAAATCGTCGCTTTTGGCTAAAAGTGTTTTGTTGTGAAGCAGCCGTGCGATGGTAAAATTACAAGCGCGTGGGCGTGAGTTGTTTTGGCGTGGATCGAGGTTCGTTCTTAGCTTCCCCTTCATGGGGAGATTGCTGACTGGCCATTTAGCAGGCGTCCGCCGCTAATCGCTCTCCCTCGCACGCTCGTTTGGCCTCGCACGCTCGTTTGCCCTTCGCTCGTCACCTTGCTTCTGCAGAAGCCATATTTTTGGAGGTCTTTTCCAGGACAGTCAAAATAGGTTGACTCAAAGTAATAGCCTCTTTAACCCCCCCTCCCCCCCCAACCACCAAAAGCTATCTGCACTCTGCCTGTTGTCATAATGTAAATACGGAATATTACGGTTGCTGTGGTGATCAGCGGTAACGCCAAGCATGGATGCAATAGCTAAGAATGCACACAGACGTTCCCCAGCTAGTGAATATATATAATTTTATATATATATATAAAATGTGTGTTTGTGTGTGTGTTTTTTTATCCAAAGTTATTTCTGTTGCCCGCGGATACGCAGGCTCTCTCCAAACAACTTCAGGGAATTACAGGAGAGAGTCGACTTCCACCCTCCAGGAAACTTGAGCCTGTCCTTGATGGTAGAGATGTGGGGCAGAGGCCCTCCCAGGTAGTTGGTGCGCCACCTCTAGGTCGGATGCTCCCATCCTGACCCTTGTATCTGCTCCCGCATGGGGGTACTAATCTTTTCACCCCCCACCACCTCTAAAATAACGCTGCCGAATCTCACAATCCCATCCCAGTGTCTTTGTACCCCCTTCAGGGGTGGTGACCCCTATTTTAGGAACCCCTCTGCTATGGCATGTCAGCCGTATCCTTCATCATCTTCATCAGGAGTTGAAAGCAAGCTGGAAGTCCTCTCCCAGAATGCATTTCTTCTGACCACACCTCTGAGTCTGCCCATATCCACTCTCTTTTAGGAAGGACAAGCCCTCTTAGTCGGATATTGGTGCACACACACACACACGCGTTCGCACTAATGCACCTCTCGCATTTCCTCTCCCTCACATATCTGGCTTATCTCTGCCGTCGGGGGGATTCCGCCACGCAGGATCGACGGAGCCAAGGATCCATCCTAAAAGCAGCTAAATAATTTATCTGCCCGCGGGGCTCCAGTGGCACCCGGCGGCGTGCCCGTCTGCTGCCCGCTGCGGCCAAACCTCAGCCTCGCTCTCGCCCAGACGCCACGGGCTGGAAGCTATAAACCCTGGACCTGCTCTCGTTCTGCTCTCCCAATTCAGATGGGGGCCGTTCACGTTTCTGCCGCGGTTTGGCAAAATCCATAAATGCTATGACTGTGGGTTTGGCACTTTTCACAGTCCGGTAAAAGCCAGGAATCTCCCAGCATGCTTTGGGAAATTCTCTCACCTGTGTGTGTGTGTGTGTGTGTGTGTTATTGGCCAGTAGTATCACTAGAGATTTATGAAAAGGGGGGGCTAAGCCTTACCTGGGGGGGGGTATGAATGAGAACGCGCTATTTGAACTAATTGGGGTGGATTTATTCGGGCGGGCCTAAAGCCTCCCTACAACAGGCCTAGCAACACCCCTGTGATTGGCTAGTCTAGGCGTAAGATACGCTGACCCCTCAGGACCAGGGCTGAGGATCACCTGGCGTCGGCAAAGGTGCAGACCGGGGTGGCACAGCCGTCTAACAGCAGAGAGGTTCAGGAGCATGACGTGTGGCTGTTACCTTTGAATTCGGGGGACGGTCTGACTCATGTAAAGGATCTTGAGAAAGGTGGTGGCCACTATTTTTTTTTGGGGGGGGGGGCATTTTTTCGAGTGTCTCTGGCGTACGGATGCCCATCTCGCTGTGAGGCTGTCATTAAGCCAGACTCTTAATGTCGTCTCGATTAATAATTGATCGACGATAATGTATCCCGCTCTGTTGCGCTTGTGGGGGCGGGCGGGGTTTAGCTGCGACTTTCAGCCACCCTCTGAATAGTACAGCCCGTGTCACTACCTGAATCCTTATACCTCACACCCCTGTTTAGTGACAGCCTAAGGTGTGAAACTGTCCCATAGGGCGGCGATAGAGAGACCCAGCGAGGGGTTCTGTCTTGCTCGCTCTTCATGAAACGCACATTAAGCTGATAGCTGGATGCATCTGAGCCACTGTTTCCGACTCCATGGCTACTTTTACTTTCGTCTTCTGGATTTTTATCTGCTATTTTGAAATTGAGCTCTATTGTCTAAATTGCCTTATAAGGTATCGTCCAATTAAACAGCATACAGGCCACTCAGTTTATCATACATAATGTCAGATTTGGGTTCTGTTTTATCTTGCTTCGTTCGCCCTCCTCCTCCCTCCTTCCATCTTGTTCTCTCTCTCTACCCATAATCCACTTAATTTCATTGATTCACTTTCCCTTTAATAGTCCTGTAGCTGAGCTGCTTCCAGTAATTGCCCGTCATTATAAACATACATGCAAATAGCAAATCAGCATTCAGTTCGAACACACGCAGGCAGAATTAACCTCCCAAATCCGTTCTTTATAGAGTACCTGACAACTCAACCAAGGGCATGCCTCACCCTGGGTGGGGGGGTGGGGGAGGGGTGCCGTTGCCCCTGTGTTATCCTGCATTTCACTGATTGCCGTGGTTTGGGTTACACCGGAGAAGGAAAGTCTTCCATCCTCTGGAAACCGCCCACTGGGGAGTAGTCTGCTTTTCACAACTTCATTTTTCCCTTCCTGTTATCTTTCACAGTTTAGAACATTGGCTGCATGCAAAAGTTTTTCATTTGCATAAAATGTAGCTAAATCACACTGGATTAACACCTTCCCTTTCTCTCTCCCTCTCTTTCTCTTCCTTGTTATCCTGTCTTTTTTTCCCCTGGTCCCTCTTCCTCCTACATAATGACTAACCCTAACCCTACCTATGCCCTCCATGCCCGCATTTATCCATCTTCTTACAAACCCTGCTCACCCTAACCCTAACCCTAACCCTACTTCCTATCCCCTTCCTCGACTTCTCTTGTTTTGCTCCTCCCCATAACTAACCCCACCCAAACCCCGCCCACTCATGTAACCCCACCCCAAACCCCGCCCACTCATGTAACTCCACCCAAACCCCGCCCCTCCCCTACAGCAGCGCCCCCTGAAGCAGTCCCTGAGCGGCTCCTTGTGTCGAGAGTCCCACTGGAAGTGCCTGCTGCTCACTCTGCTCATGTACGGCTGCTTCGGCACGCTGGGCTGGTGCTCCTTCTACCGCGTCACCGTCATGGCAGACGACCACGGCTCCGCCTTCTACTACGGCAGCCGCGCCCGCCTCTACCATGACAGCCCCTGCTCCAACGGCTATGTCTATATCCCGCTGGCCTTCCTGGTGATGCTCTACGCCGTCTACCTGGTGGAGTGTTGGTACTGTTACTCCAAGACAGCCACCCTGGCCAAGGTGGAGATCAGCGACGTCTACGAGCGCGTGCAGCGCCTACAGCGGGCCACGCCCTGCATCTGGTGGAAGGCCATTAGCTACCACTACGTACGGCGCACACGGCAGGTGACACGCTACCGCAACGGCGACGCCTACACCACCACGCAGGTCTACCACGAGCGCGTCAACACACATGCCGCCAGCTCCGAGTTCGACTACATCCGGCACGGCGTCAAGGACGTCTCCAAGGAGCTGCTGGGCCTGCTGGACCACCCGGCGACTCGGCTCCGCTTCACCAAGTGCTTCAGTTTTGCTAGTGCCCGCGCCGAGACCGCCTACCTCACCCAGCGTGCCCGCTTCTTTGGAGACAACGAGGGCCTGGACGACTACATGGAGGCCCGCGAGGGCATGCACTTAAAGAACGTGGACTTCCGGGAGCACCTGCTGGCCTTCCCGGATCCGGCCCGCCTGCCCTGGTTCGCCCGGCACCACGTCTTCTGGCTGGCCTCCGCCCTGCTCCTCTCCTGGCCTCTCCGCGTGGTGGCTGAGTACCGGACAGCCTACGTCCATTACCACGTGGAGAAGCTGTTCGGCGACGGTGACGACACCCGCGAGGGTGGGGAGCAGGGAGAGAGCGGCCGGGGCGGGGGAGCAGCGCCCAGTTCTAGTTACCGTGCCATCTCACGGGTCAACACTGTGGACATGACCGAGCTGGAGTGGCACATCCGCTGCAACCAGCAGATGGTGCCCAGCTACTCCGAGGCCTTACTCATGGACCCGGACCCCAACGCGAACCCTGCTTTACCCACTAGGGGGAGCTCCCTGGCCAGGTTGGGGCCCCACAGTGGTGGCTACTTCCTCCAGAACTGCCCCCGCTGCAGGAGATCCCCCAGTAGCACTTCGCTGCCCTCGAGGGTGAGGGGTAGTGTCTCCATTGCGACGGCAGGGCGACCAGGGGGCCGCGGGGCCACGAGGCTGGCACCAAGCCGCAGCGGCTTCTCCCTGGGCCGCCTGCAGACGTCGCGCCACGCCTGCCTGTTCCACTCCAGGAGCTTGGGAGGCCTAGGAGCCAGGGGGGAGGACGGGGGCGGGGGGTTCCTGGGATTCGGGGCCCGACGGGATGAGGAAAGCCAGGGTGTGCTGGGGAGAGGGGGGTACGGTGATGAGGAGGAGGAGGAGGAAGAGAGGGCGTCCGAGCAGGATGTGGAGAGGGAGACGGACACTAATCGGCAAGGAGACAGACCCCCCGACTACCGCGATGCTCTGTTCTTCCCCTTGCTGATCGTCCACGGGGAGGAGAGTTGCCATGGCGAGGGAGCGCTGTGATGGAGCAGCCGCTGACAAGAACGGGCGTCCGTACCCGGAGAGAGGGACAGGGGAGGGCGAGGGCGGGTCAGGGAGACAGACACGGAGAGGAGAAACATATCGAGCCTGAGAGGAGAGAGACAGGCGGAGGAACGGGACGCGAATGTCAGGGGAGGAGGGAGGAGGAGCTTTCAGAGCTCGGGGGACAAGTAATAACCGTGACAGGCTGTCTTCCGAAGATGGACGAACAGGAGGGGCTTTGCACTAAAGGGAATCACGCGGGTGAGCTAATGGTGAATGCAGAGTGGCTCGGTAAAGCTGCCTGTGAATGTAAACCTCACACCAGAGCAGAAGATGACAGGTCTGACACCAGCTAGTTCTGCAGGTGGAGACTGTCGTCTGGTGACGCTTGAGGTGTAAACGTGAGGATCGCTAATGCAGGACTGCTTCGGCCTACCGTCCGCTGGCATTCGGGCACTTCCCCGGTGGTGACCTTTGACCTTTCGCGTTTAATCTACGCCAAAATGAATGGATTCCACCCCATTCATCTCTGGACAACATCGCCTTAAATCGGCGTCATCTTCAGAACGATCCTGGCCCTTTACGTCACGCTAGACGACTTTTTCGGTTCTGGGGGGAACAAAAGCAGAAAAGTCGTACGATTTGTCGCCAGTGGTGACTATGGTTCGCCCAGAAACTGCTCTCTTTGTGGGGTCGGGAGTGAGCAGAATGAGCTCGGCCCCGAACACATGCACTGTCCAAGACTGACACGTTCACGCAGACAGATTGTACACACATTACTCTGTTTCGAAACGAGGCAACAAGGACTTTAGTGTCTCCTGGATACAGCACAAAGCGTCTGTGGAATAGCACCCATAAAATGAAACGTACAGACTCTGTGCGGAGCAAGTGTAGTATGTGCCTGCAGTGAACTGCTTGGGGACAGGCACCCCCTCCCCCAATCACCACCCCCGGGATCATCACCAGGTGCACAGGGGACGGCTTTTAGGGTTATGGGTTCTCGTTCTCATGCTATGATTTTTTTTTTTCCCCCTGCATTTAAATTGAAATGGTAAACAAGACTGAGCACAGGTAAACGAAACAGACTCTCAGAGGGATAGGAGGATCTGGAATGGCGAAGGAGGGAGAGAGACGTGGGGAGGGAGGGGGGGGGATGAAACATTCTACCCGCTGCCTTGCATAAGCTTGTCACTGCTTTCTTCCGATCTTTTTTAAAAGCGTTCTTTTGTACGTTCCTTTGCTATGCCGTTCAGCTATAAATGTTGTCCGCTCGCCAGGGCTGTAGAATGTTGTGATACTCATGAATGTGGTGAAGCACATGGCTTCGAACCTGCAACCCCACGCACACAACCGCCACCCCCTGTGCCGCACAGTCACCAGTCGCTCGGCCTGCTGGGAAGGCAAGTCCCTCCGGAGCGCCGTGGGGTTCCTTCATACATCAGGTGGTTTTTAGGTCTGGCCCTCGTCCTGAATGCACACGTGATTTTTATACCAGCCAGATGTAGAGATCACTGCTGGTGGTGGGGCGGGGGGGGCATACACCCAGAGCGCCCCCTGGTGGAACACACAGGAATGTCTCGCAGTGGGAGGGGCAGTCCTGTAAGCCCCTCCCTCCAGGAACATCATTCACCATCTCCCAGATCTGTGTTCAGTTAAGACCTTAACACGCTAAGGCATGTTTGTGAATTCGCGCACACACACGTATGGTTAAGAAGCACGAGATGGAGGCTTCCTGTCTCCCTAAGCATGGAGATTAGCCTACAAAACGTATGCAAGCACATGCAAATGCAGCAAAACAGACACAAACAAAGCACAAATAAGCACGCAGGAGGAGTGAGAGTGGGGGCAGTGCCTCTGTGAGCTGCACCAGAAGCTGCGTTCAGAACCTTAGGCGTCGCTGAAGGCCCTCGTACCATGATCACATCACTGCTTCTCTGAACACCGGTAGAGGCCATTAGACCACTTAACATAACACAGATGTTGTCATCTGCCTCCACACATTCTGGAACCTTCCGTGGCCTCTTTTCGGGTTCAGAGTCACCGCGCGTAAAAGTCTCCTCCTCCGAATGCCCATCGGTCCTGTCGGGTCGGCCGACATGGGGTGCGGAGCGGTCGACTGCGAGCGGGCCTTGTGACCCGTGTCACGACCCAGTGTCCTGATCATTCCCAGGATGGGTCCGGTGTGTTTATTGGAAGGGTGTCTTATGGAACGTCCGAAAGTCACTGTAGATCTGGAACAAGACAAAGGAAGGGGGGGGGGGGCAGTGTTTGTGTGTGTGTGTGTGGGGGGGGGGTAGCTTTATAGCTCAGGATCAATACTGTTACAGAGACAGTCACTGGATGTTTTTGCGAGGGAGGGCGAGTTTATTTTTGGGAATGTACTTACAGCTGGACTATAAATTCTCTTTTTCTGGTTGAGTATGAGGTTGGCCCAGTAGCTCGGGGGGGGGGGGGGGGGTAGAGCTGTTGCCTCACGCCTCCAGAGTTCAGGGTTTGAGTCCCATCTCTGTGTATAAGGGGTTTGAATGTTTCATCCATGTTGTTTGTGTTTCATCATGCAGTCCAAAGACACACCCCTAAGTTGTCTGCAGCGTTTATATGTGCCCTGTCTAGGACAGCGTTTCTGAACCCAGTCCGTGGGAATCGCCAGCAGTCCACATCTTATCTGCCTCCTAACTCTCAACCAATCAAGAACTAAAAATACCTGGTAAAGGTGCATCGGGGCTTGGGAGGGAGCAAAAACGTGGACCGGCTGTGGGTCGGTCCACAAGCACGGCTGAGAAACACTGGCACAGGCTATTCCTCAGCCAGGTTCCTTGCATTGCCTGGGACAGACTCCCCTGTCACCCTGAGAATGATAAGCGTTTCCCAGATGGTGGAATTGGGTCTCTGTACATCTCATGGAATGGAAGTTTCTGTAACTATATTAAATTCATAAAACACTACGTTATATGAGAGAGATATTATGTCATTAATTCTCTGCACAGTCACTGACAAAGACAAGATGAGTAACTGTAACAGGTCAGCGATGTTAAAATACCTTTGGCAGTTCTATAAAGCTCTATGGCTCCCCCAGATGGCAATTATGTGAAGCACAGTATATGAATTTGGGATACATCACTCCACCTTCTAGCTGCTGATTTTGGTCTGGGTTGTGTGTTGGGGGGGCATTGCAGGGGGCACAAAGCCAGAGTACCTGGATGGGGTGCCAGGTGTGTGAATTATTAATTATATGAATCATAATCCAATAGTAAAGTGGGTTAATGATAGCATTTTCTGTCAGCGGTTCCCATTAGCAGTGATTGACAGGGTGCAGTAATTCCGCCCACATCCGTAACCACACTCTCGATTGGTTCCCATTAACGGTGATGGACAGGATGCAGTAATCCCGCCCACATCCGTATTCGCACCCATTTCTTCCATCTCACTGCTGGACTCTTAATCACCCTCGACTGAGCTTTTGTTAATTGAATAACACAGTTAATATCTATTTAAACTGAACGCCTTATTCATCCATTTATCCACCTTGTGGTTATTCCGGACAGGGTCACTGAGGGCTTGTATGTCAAGTAGGCGGGCAACTCATCCTGGCTGGTTAGGGCACGAGTACAAGCACATCTGCCATTTAGCAATGCTAGTTAGTCTAACTCTATCATTGGACTGCATGAAGAAACCAGAAGGTTTAAAAATTCCCCCTGGGATCAATAAAGTTTCTCTTATCTTATTAGAACCCCAACACTACTGGTGTGAGGCTATAGTGTTATCTGCACTCATGGGAGTTATACTTACCAAAAATGCTCTGAGGGTGGGAGGAAAAATGATTGGTTCAGAGAATAACCAATCAGATCTAATTGGTTGGTCCCGCCTACTCTAGTTGCTTGGACCCACCTCCTCTACAATCTGATTGGTTATCTCTTTGAACCAGTCATTTTCCCTTCTGCCCCCAGAACATTTCTGCATAAGTAAAACTCCCACAAGCGTTATTCACTCTGTGATGGTACTGCCTGGATGCCTTATTCAGCTTTATTTAAGGACAATTAATAATCAACTCACTGAAATAAACACCACAGTGATATCAATAGTAAATATACATAGCTAAGGTATTCTATTAATAGGATCTTTATAATATTCATTCAAATGGTCAGTGAACCCTGCATGATCTGGAGCTAATGTGAGGGTATACAGACCGCTACTTCAAATTAGTCCTGCCTTGACTGAACAGAGTCCAAGTAGCTTTTCGGGATCTACGTGATGAGACTCAGAGTTCACCCTCTGTGCCTGTGATCAGAAGGGTGTTGGTTCAAGTCTGGCCTTGGCAGGTCCTTGACCCTCAGCTCCCTGGATGCTGTGATAGGTGGCTACCTTTCGTTGCTAACTCGCTTTCACCTACAGAGGTATGAAAGGAATTTTCCCATGGGAATCTATGAAGTTTCAATTATTATCGAAATAAGGCTGTTTGACTGAAACATTATAGGTGCAGCAACTTTCACTAGGAGCTGCTGATCTGTGTGTGTGTGTGTGTGTGTGTGTTAGCATATAATACATTATGAACATTTAGTTAAAGTGACCTTGTGAGTATACAGCTGATGTCCATTACAAACTGGCCATAAACAACCCAGAGGAACAAAGGAATCAGGACCGTCGCGGTGAGAATTACGCGTGACCTTGCTGAAGGGTGCAAGCTGTCTGTATAATCGATGTGTAAGGGTAACCTTTCCGTCGAGCCTATTTTAATTTGTAGGTTCCCCTCCAATAGCTCCGCCATGGTTACCGGGCGGCACTGCCCTTGTAGATGGACCGGGACATGAAGTGAGCTCCGCGTGGCTTTCGCGATTTAAACTCGGATTAGCCTTTAACAGCCGTGTCGGGAGACAGCAGCGGACGGCCGATCTGGGAGCTGGCCGGAAGCCACGTTTGACAGTCGGTGATGTGACGCATCGTCACGTGACTCTGCCACATGGACGCACTTCAGCATATAAGGGATTAACATGACGGCAACAGTAACAACCACCACTGTTATTGTACAATCAATTTATGACAGGTTCTCTTGGCATAAAGAAAAACGCTCATTATTTTTAAATCAAGCAAATGAGTTGAATATTTTAAAAGCTTATAAAGAATTCGTTATTCTAATGAATATCATAATAGCAAGTTGACACCATTAATATTAGTAGTAGTAACATAACTGGTAATAACACTTCAACATATGTATTAAACAAAATTATCCGGGGTCATAGTGTGATTGTAAATTAATGAAGGAAATAAATTATTTTGTGTGGATTTTATGTGTGCTGCTGCTGCTTTCCTATCGGCCGCGACAGATCATGACTGAAATGTGGGAACCGTTTGACCTTTTTTGTACTCCTCTCTCTATAACTCCGTTCCTCCACCTGCTCGCTGAACGAGGGATTGTAGATCGTCCCCGTTTTCCCTCGCCTTCTTTTCTCTCTCTCTCTCTTGCATCCGACTCTGTAATCCGGGTTTAGCGGATGGCCTGGTTTAAGGTTACGTTTCCTGAAGGAGAGAGAAAAAGAGAGAGAGAAGGGGAAGGAGAACGAGCGGCATAAAATTGTACCTGTGCTTCCTTTGATGAATGAGAAACCCCCTGCAACTTTGAGAAGACCACAGAAAGTAAAGCGATAGGACAGAAAAAAATACGTACGGGATATAAAGAGGAGAGAGTATCGAGTGTTAATTCTTAAGCTCATTGACATTTTAATATCAGGTTCTGGTAAGTTGAGGAAGCTTTATTGTTAGAAATGCCCAGGTATTTAATATCATCTGCTAGCATCTTATAGCGTATTCTTACATGCTATGTAATAGTCCGTAGCTCTGAGCACCTGCTGTTTGTGTGCATAGTCTCTGTTTGTACGCGGTAGGCTGAATGTGGCAGCCGTCGGCGGTGGAGAGGGTTAAGGCTCAGTAAGCAGCTTGTGGGCGTCTCGGGAAGACCGGATGAGCTGGGCTGGTAGCAGGCGCGCTGCCCGTAGGCAGCAGGGCGCGTGATTAAGGACGAGCCCCAAAGTGCCCCGCTCATGTTCTCGCAGCGGCCTGGGGTTGGACTCCGACCCGATAGGAATGAATGGGAGAAATTGTTCTGGGTCACGCTGAGTCGATATACGGAGAAGTTTTGTTTCACTCGTTTATTACTGACCTCAGACCAAATGAACAGACTGCATGTTTTGGGGGGTGTGGTCATCTTTTATAACATCATATTAATACACACTGCCCTACCTCTGCTGTCTGGGATAGACGCCAGCCCCCCCACGACCCTGACCAGGATAAAAGGTTTGAAGATGGATGGATAGACAGATGGATAGACAGATGGATGGGATAATTTATATATTTATTTTTCATCTCGTCTCTCCTCCACGTCTCACTGCTTGTTGCATTATATTTTGCATTACCCTAATAGTTATGTATTTATTAAAATATTTAAACAACTAGATGTTATCACTGAATCACAGTCCACTCCTCAAAAGTACAACAGTAGGATTTGAGCAGATGGCCTTTGAACTGTGTGGCCTAATGTTTAGGGAAGTGCACTTGTCACCAAAAGATTGCTGTTTCAAATCCCTGACCAGCGAGGTTCCCTGAGCAAGGTACTGCCCCCAGTCGCTGCTACCCAGGGGCTGAATTAGCTGCCCCCTGCTATGTCACATATGGGATAAATGCAGACGACACTTTTCGTTGTTGTGCAGTGGTGTGTCAACAACTGAATTTGGTTTCCATGACGACACCTCTTGGGTTTTTCTATTGGCTGATAGTATGATTGTCTATCTTCCTGTCTCTGCTCTGCCCTGTTGTATTATAACTTTGGTCCAACACTTAATACCCCACTGACCCCATGCTTCAGCAGGGCCACCCTACTCACAGCTTTACTCACAGCCCCACCCTCCCGGCAGCTTGCGGGCGCCATGGCGACAGAGCAGCCGGATGCACTGGTGCTCGGCGCGGAGGTCCTGCTTGCGGAGGCTGCGCAGGTGCAGATGCGATGCTGGGAGCAGAGCACGCAGCTGTCTGCTGCGGCCGCCCAGCTGCAGCACGAGAGCCAGGTGCTGCAGGAGCAGTGTGGCACCGCCCTGGTGGACATGGCTGAGCTGCGCGGGAAGCTGGAGGAGCTGCTGGACACCAAGGCGGCATTTGAAGCCCGGGAGAGGCAGGCACGCAAGCTCAGCAAGCAGCTTTGAGGGGGTGGGGGTGGAGAGGAGGGTGGAGGATATGACAGGCATGCCCTGAGAGGGGGAGAGGTGGGTGACAAGCAAACTCTGAGAGGGAGAGAGGGTAACAGGGAAGCTCTGGGGGGCGGGGGGAGAGATGAGGTAGCAGGCAGGATCTGAGGTGTTGGGGGGGGTGGGGGGTAGCGGGCAGGCTCTGAGGGGGTGAGAGGGAGCAAAGGGCGGGGAGGGGGGTAATTGGCAAGAAGATGGCAGGGGACAGAGGGGGTAACAGGAAAGTAGGGGGGGCAGAGGGGTAAGAGGGTCGGGAGGGAGAGGAGGGGGGGTAACAGGTAAAATTAAATGAAGATATATTTACTGGACTAGATTGGTTCAAAGTAAAATAAAGTTTCTATTTACTGAAAAATGTGTAGTTTTATTGGGAAATAAACCACCTTTCCATTCGTCGCCAGATTATCAGGTTGTAAAAATAATTTCTCGGAAAAGGTCAACTTTAAAAAGCAAGAAGCTTTCTTTCTATAGACGTCAGTTATCTTGATGGAGTTTACAAGCTGTGATTAATCGCGGTAATTATTGACATTATGGATCAGTTGCCAGTTAACTATTGCAGTTCGCAGTTTTACTCGTTGACGAAGATGCAGTGATTCCTTTGCCTGAAATTCAGGTTTTGAAATGTGAAACTCTAAGATGGCCGACAGTCCTGAGGAGTAATGGCCAGCGGATTTTCTCCCACCCTCACAGGAACTAAGCCAACTTTACAGACCATCTGCGGCTTTCTGTGGCTACTGGCTACTGGCACGATTCAGGTTTCGACTGTCATGTGGGCTGTAGGATTTACTTTGTGTGTTGAGAAATAACTGAATTCATTGTGTCACCCAAGAGTCTTAGGCAACCTTTAAACGAATAATGAGCCATGTAAAACAAAGGGCTATTATATAAATAATAGAAAACAAGCACACAAAGGTTATATATAAACAGAGAAAAACAGATGGAGGACTGAAGTATTGCGCTTACTGAATACGCCTCATCACAGACAGTGATAAGAACAGAATAGCCAATATGTAAATATGCGGACCATTTTCTGATGTCGTTTACTCAAGTGCACGTATATCCCAAATTCATCGGTAACTCTCTGCTGCCCCCTAGCTGCAAGTTTCCAAACCTCAAGAACAAGATGCTACAGAAACAGTGGCCTGTACTACGAAGCGGGGTTACTGGCTTATCGGGGTAACTTGTCAGATTTAAGGTACCACAGTTTAAATGGATTCATATTCGTTCATTTACATTTTGCACAGACTACCTTAAATCCGATAAGCCAGTAACCCTGCTTCGTAGTACAGCCTCCCGATTTTAGTTTATTCAAAATAAAAACAATAATAAAAAAATAATTACTTTTTTATTTTATGTAGACATTCACATGAATTACTTTCTGCAGTTATTTTGCCTTGTGTCTTTATTCTTAACATGTTGTTAATATTCATTATATATTGTAATTAATTTCTGGCACAATACTTAATGAGATTATATGCACATACTGGACATAATGCTTATAAATTTTAAATAATATACAAATTTTACATTAAAAAAACATAAATAATTTGTTTTAAAGATGCACTTGTGTTTGGGGTTCAGACATTTCCTTGATTTTGCAATATTTTGCACATTTCAAATATTTCCATTCAGCCTTAAGTGCCATGGATAAAAGCGCCATTAGGGTTCGAGAGTCGCTACTAATGGAATTCCTACTAATGTATTGATTAGAAAGTAATGCCGGCTTCTCTGGCTGTTCTATGAACAGTGTAAGGCCTTCAGCTTGAAACAGAAGGGGAGAGGGCTTCCTGTGGCTTCCTTCCACACCATCTACAAGACAAACTACAGCCAGAAGCAGACACAGTGCAGCCAGTGGTCTGGTTTATTCCCAAGTCTCAACAGGTACCCACAGGGGCTGAGATTTAAAAGCACAGTGAAAGAAAAACACAGCTTCCCCAGGAACGAGGGACAAACAGCGCTCAAGGCAGGAGCAGGAGAGGCTCACTGTGGTCGACTAGGTCCTGCTTGACGTGTGGAAGAAGGGCTCGGCTTCGGCCGGGTTCCAATCGGCGCCGCCCTGCCTGTACTCTGAGGTACTGCGCCTCTGCACGGACACCACCACCACCACCAGCATCCAGAAGAAGAAGTTGACCCAAACGGATTTCTGTGGGAGACGGAGGTGAGAGCGGGAATGAGGGCTTGATGGTGCTGGGTGAAAGGATGGAGAGATGGAGGATGAGGAAGATATAAACTTATCTACTGGTGCAATATGGTAGTAATGTTCACTGGGGTGAATTTGGGATGTGGGTTTGTGTGATCGCTGACCACAGCCATCAGCTGGGCAGTGACGCGTTGGCAGGACTGACCTCGGCGCTCTCGAAGCCCTGGTAGAACTGCTGCCCATTCACAGGGCTGGTCCATGTCTTATTCTGTGCCACTTCGCAACTGGAAAACAAAGTGTGATGATGGGTTGGTCACATGGTGTCATTCTCAGTACACTAGGGCTGCCGTAAGAGGCTTGGACGGTTGTCAGGGGGCTGAGATCAATTTCGTAAGTCTCAGTGCTCCTGTTTCTGGTATTTCCAGCAGAATGAATATTAAGAAAGGATAAATAGTGAAAGAGAGGATGAAAAATAGATAAATAGCCAAAAAATATATTAAAATCGACTACGATGAAAATCGGCTTCAATGAGAGTGATGTGGTATAGTGTGGTGAGCTCCGACATGCATGGGTAAGGACCTAATGTCCTGCGGTCGCTCACCTCACCTGTTCACTGCCGGGACGCTGTGCAGGAGAGACTGGCACAGGTGGTCCCTCCCGATCCTCAAGATGCAGCCGGACAGCAGCAGGAAGAAGGAGACGACGCCGCAGGAACCGAGGGACACGCTCATCCAGACGCTGCCCCTAGTGGCCATGAGCGACAAGCGCAGGGAGGTTAAGGCCCATTTACAGAGGGCATCAAATAGTAACGCTGACAGCATTATAAATTAGCAGGCACTTCGATCCAAAGTGACATATATTTGAGAGAGCAGGGTCAGCCAGCCCCTGGAGATATTGCAGGTTAAGGGCCTTGCTCAAGGGGCCAATGGTGACATCACTCTGACAACCCTGGGATTTGAACCAACAACCTTCCGATCACGTCCTCACTCGCCCAGCCACACACTGTCTCATGCATCCCATAACACCCTATTAACGCCCTGTATACTATTTACATAATTCCTATTTGTTTTGATTGGTCGATCTGTGCATTTTTATCACATCTTACCCATCAATGTGTCAGAATTTCAATGTCTAACAAACTACAGTTTTTGGGGTTAAAGCAGGAGTGCCAGGCTCAAACTCCGCTCTCCATTGTATCATTCTCCTCCAGCCCCCCGTTATGCAAGGATTCCAACACTAACCGCTTGAACTCTCCGTCGACACAGCTGCTGTAGATCCAGTAGAGGATGAGGGACAGGCAGTAGACTGACACGCAGATGGAGATGGCCGAGACAAAGTAGCAAAGGGAGGGGGAGCTGGCGCTTTCGATGCCGATGGACTGCGTTGACTTGTTGTAGTAGACGCTGCCGTAGAGGACGCACTGCCCGGCGAACTGACCCTGCAAAACAGCGCGCTCGGAATGTTATTACTACACCCGGCCACTAGGGGTTGCCACGGGGCCGCGGAACGCTGCGGGTTTTGCTAAGGGACTGATGATTGTCCAAAAATAAACTGCATATTTTCAGTTTTTTTTACAATCCCGCACATTTGAGCGTCGAACATCAAAAGACTGGGAATCACCGCTCTCCACCAGGTCCGGCGCAAAGGTGTGGTTAGGACGGATTTAGCCCACCCCGAGATTACCTCAAGCCCCGCCCCTCGCCACTGCACCTTGCCTGTCACGTGGCAAGTTTCCTAAAATAAATAAATTCGTAAATATTGTATTCACTGTAAACATAAATTACTAAAAAGCCAAATTAATTCCATGTTGTTATTAAAAGTAGCTAGTTTAATACTGAACCGTGAACGAAACAATCAAAATACTTCACTGCTAAAAACGTTAATTTGGAAATGAGCGGCAATAGAAAACTATTTAAACGTGATACACAGATTTAACTTCAGTCAGCGACGTAGACTTAGGGATTATTATTAATAACAGTCTTATTATTATTAGCAGCCGTTGACTTTGTATTATATGCATGTGGTCTTGTGCAAACTAAAATACGATGTACTACATAGAAACAAACTTCACGTTGGTTGTGCTGCCCATGGTTTGCCACTTATAAATGGTAATAATTCATTAATGAGAAGAAAACTGTGATATAACTTGTGTATAATTGTCTAGTAATGATTTACAACGTGTTATAACCTAATTAATAACCTGCTTATAAACCATTTATAATCCCTTTATAAGGGTAGTCTTAATGTAAAGTGGCACCATTAAAACTAATGTTAACCCCCCCCCCCACGTACAATGCATAGGCCGTGTCCCCACTCTTCAAACATAACATAATGCATTCTTTTATCTCGGATTACAATCGCATCCAGAGCATCGCATGCTCTGTGCCTCATCAACTTTGATAATCATCGCTAGATGTGTGTTGGCTTTTCAATGCTTCACTAACAATGATAACATTTTACAATAATAATAATCTGTTCCAGCACAGCCAGCCTGTTCTGGATAATCGTTTTGGCAGATGGAAATTCATCCTAATCTCGCTCTCGTGGCGATGATGTTAGCATAATGTGTATTACTGCTTTTTCTGTGACGACGGCTCTAAGTTAAATGCATCTCTGCAATGACAGTCACGCCGCTCTGTCTTCTGTGTGCGGCTCATCTGACTCTAATAAACTGCCTGACTTAACTGGAAGCTACGAGCCAGGCGGTCACGTGGCACAGCGCAAATAATGCGCTCTACTGTGGAGAAACTTAAAAACTTCAAGGGGTCTAGGTTTGTCGCTTTATATATTGATTTAAATGTCTGATATTTCACTGGAAGAGAACGCGCACCCCATCCTGTCAGTACATTGAAAGTCACAAGACCATTAATATAACTATTTTAAAAGCAGGCCTTTGTGACTTTTATATACGTCTTGCCTTTTCAATTTCACGTAAAGCCTTGATTTACACTATTATCGTAGCTGGACAAAGTTACAGGTAACGCAAAATACTTAAGATCTTAGTCTTTTTCAATCATTACTATAATTTATGTATCTCCAGTATATTACAGTGACTTTATCGAGGTGCCATGTAACAAAAAGAAGCGTGTTAGTGCAATTTTGCATGCGGCTGTTTAAAACGCACGTGCAACATAACCGAGTGCACGCGTTTTTTCTTCGTCTGCTTTACCTGAGTCATCGTGAGGGATGCAGCAGAGATAATTCCGCAGATAAAGCAGCCGGAGTAAAGCACGATTTCCAGGGCCAGCAGCCACGGCAGCGCCATCTCCAGCATCGCTCCGCTACGTCCTTTCGGGCGTCTGACCTCCGCACGGCTCGCGCCTTACGTGTGTATAGTTTGGCCCCCTGAAACGGTCTTAAGTATCGCAGGCTTGGGCTTTGCGTGACAATGTCGCCATTCAGCAGCGCCGATGCAGCGCAGTTTTATTGAATGAGTATTGTTAGAGGAACGCATTGCAAACGGAGGGGATTAAGCGGTGTATGGCATAATTGCTGCAGAAATATATTCGGTTGCCTATATATATAACTGCCTTTGTAAATTATGCCATAATCGACTGTACAAGACATATATTAAAGATAATTCCAGCATGGTTTAATGTACTATAAAATGAGTTTTCTGCATCCTTATTACAAAAATTCACTTTGCATTGCTTTGTCAGAAGTTGTCAGTAATACAGCTTGTTACAGCGATTTGCGTGTTTTGGAGCGCATGTTAATCTGTATAGGAAATGTGTTTGTTGTAATTTTAAGGGAGCAAGAACAGAAGTATGGTAGCTTCGGCCTGTGTGGGTGGTATAGGTCAACTGCAGCTCCACTTAGTTTGCATTGCTGTGCCTGTGATCAGAAGGTTGTAGGTTCAAATCCCAGAGCCGGCAGAGTGATGTCACCAGTGGGGCCTTGAGCACGACCTTTAACCCCAGTTGCTCCTAGGACTGGCTGAACATGCTTTCTCAAAACGGTGTGTTACTTTGGATGAAAGCATCTGCTAAAATAAATAAAACATAAGTGTCATTATCTTAGATTACATACAAGCTTGTGATCTGTCTAGCTACCTGTTGAATGACTGATATTTCAGCTTTAATACTGTTATGGTTTTATTTTCATAAATTATTACTTTAACTTTTTTATCACTATATAAACACCCTAAAACAGAAGTCAGTTATTCAAATTATGGCTGGAATAAACATTAAGATGGATGGTCCTGGCTTGTACTGGACTGTTGGTCTGAGCAGTTTTCTCACCAGAAAGCAGGCAATCGTGTGACTAATCTGCTCTGTAATTTGTCAGAAGGCCAGCTTATGGCGTTGCACAATTTTGCGTACATTCTGCCATTGTTTAAGCGGATGGTCTCACACTGTGCCGATGTTATCAAACTAGAGTTATCCTGGATTTTGTGGGGTCTGGCTTGGGTCTGGCTATGCATCAGCCTTGAGGTTCTTGGCTTAATTGCTACAGCACATGAATTACTGTGACACCTGGAACTTGTTTGCCTTGCTTGTAAACACAAAACAGCACAATATGCAGACCTAACTATAATTAAAATACAAGCCTGGTTTTAATACCACAAGATCAAGTGATGTGGACAATATGAAAACTAAGACTTTAGCTAAATGAACACTATTTTCTGTCCTTCCACTTTAGTAATGATCAGAAACTAGTATTGAAGTGGGAGAAGCATATTCTCCATTTAATTACTCCTACCTATCTGACATTGACGTCAGAGCGTGTTTTAGGGGCATAATTTCTCATTTTTATGTGGCAATTTATGCCTGCAATGTGGACACGGAATGCGGTATGATTCCAGAATGTAATGATGTATTTCTCATAAGAACACAGGCATCGGTAAGTAATGGAGGGCAACTCATCAGAATTCCGGTTGTTGACGGCACACCCCTAAATGAGCTTCCTCTTTTCGGTAATGCACTCGAATCAATCTCCGCAGGATTACTTCTCATTTTCATCCCGTCCTCATCACGGTTACAGCCCAATTATGTCTAATAACGATAATAACGAAAATGGATGGCACGATGGCGCACGATGGCTCACAACTAGAGTGCTGAGCATATGAAGAATCCTAGCCTGTTTCGTCTGTGTGTGTGTGGTGGATTCGGATTTTCTCTATAGCAAATCGATTTAACTGCATGTTTTGAAACTGCAGTAGGCAATCCGCATATGGCAGGGGGAGAACGTGCAAATTCAATACACACGGCAGATGTAGGAGGCGTGACGCTGCGTGCTACCATTAGCATTAGCAATGACTATAATACTTCGAGATAAATTATACCGCTTGACTATTTTATTCATACAATTGTATGGGTAAGAAAGAATCGTAATTTCCCTTCAGAGCTGTTACCAAACCACCACCTTAAGGTTATGTAAAGTCAATCATACACTCTAAGTAAGTAATTCTTTGTGGATTAATTCTTGATGTAGCTAGTCAAATCTGTAACCACTCGAGATTTTTATTCATTTATGTGTTTGTTTTCTTATTTATCTATTTTTGTTTGTTTGTTTTCCTATTCATCCGTCTATTTTTATTTGTTTGCTTGTTTGTTTGTTTGGGGGGCGCGGGTTATATTAAAATGAACAACCCGGGGGCCTATCCAATCTCAGAGGGAGGAGCCACCACAAAATGTAAAAAAGAAGAAAAAAACAATTAAATCTACCAAGGGACCCCCCCCGGTTCGGCAAAATCTACCAAGGGGGAACCTATCTTTCATAATGTATGTTCTCTGTCCGTGATCTTCTCTGTGATTTTCGTTTATTTCCCTTCCTTTGCTCTGTGGTTCCGAGTCTCGGTGCAATTAACAGAAATCCATCCACTTTTAAAACACCATTAAGCATGCAGTAACCCTGGACTGAAACACTTAAGTGTCATTAAACGTGCTCAACACTGGATACCAAAAGCACTGCTGTAAAATAACCGGTACCTAGCCAGTTTCAGCTGTCCTCAGTGTGAGGTCCAAAGCGCCAAGTAACCAGCATCAACAACAGGTTTTAAAAAACATTTTGCAATTAGGTTTTTTTTTTCTTAGCGTGAACCATGTACCATAAATATTGGGACTGATGCAGTGCTATTCAGGAATAGTGAAAAATAGAAGAGCAGACGAAGCAGTCTTTAACTGCCAATGCGCATGCTCGATCCCTTCATGAGTCCCCGGCTCTGTGCTGCTCTGAAAGGGACCTTTCAGCACCGAGAAATGTCGGACATTTTAATTTACCCGCTGGCACCGGAGTAGTCATTCAGCGCTCAATTGGGTCAGGAATGTAGGCTAGCATTCACTCTGACTGACGCTATTCTTCCCATAGTCTGCACGTAGGAATGAGATTTTTTTTCTCAGATTTATAGAAATATGAACGTATCTCAGGCTTTTGTGGACGTGTTTTTAGAAATCCCGATCAATTGTCGTTAGTGTTATTTAATTTTTCGCTTTTCAGTTCATCGAAGTTTCTCGCTTAAATATGGACAAAATAAACACCCAGCAACAATTTATTTGGTAGTTTTGCACAGTGTCAAAAAGTTGCTGAATTATATCGCTGAATACGCGTTTTAGTTTCCAGCCATACCTTGAATCAGTCATGCATACATTCAGTAGAAGTGTCTTTTCTCTCCTTCCCCTAAATTTTGCTGCTCTGTGCACTATATATCTGCGAACGGTGCCCTGAATTATATCTTGAGTGGTTTGCACGGATTAGGTGCTGCTGAAAGTATTTTAGAAATGGCGAAGAATGTCCAAAGTGGACTGCAAACTGATCTCGCTACAAAAATGCGTCCTGCGTCTCTCCACCCTGGGATGCTCATAATTCAGACCATCATCTTACTCAACACTGCCAATTTGGTATGTGATTGATATCTGCCAAGTGCTTGGTGACAATGAAACTTAACTGTAAAATTGAGCCGCAATAAATCTAATTAAATTTGACTTCATTGAAAAGAACTGGTAATGATCAGGGATTGCAGGCAACCTTTAGAGTACAATAGGGGATTTTAATCAAGAGTTCCACTAATCTGCTCTGCATAATAATATGCTGCCGACAATCAATCAACTTCCAGCCCAAATTGCATCACATTCACACGGAAACAATGATATGTGATTGATTTCAGCTCAGGGTGAGAAATACAAAACACGCAAAGCTTAACAGCAAACAGTGACCAAAGGCCAGGTCCAAATTCTACTTTGTATTTGAACTGAAGCGGGCAATTCAGATGTCCACAATATGATAGCCAAATTTTAAATCGTCCAACAAAGGTCATTTACACTGTCTCCGACACCGGATCCCAGCCTATAGGTGAAATTTTAATTGTTGTAATCTTTGATGATTTCATATCAAAATCTAGCTGATGCAAGCATGTAAGAACATAAGGAGTATTACAAATGGGAGGAGGCCGTTGGATCCTGAATAGCTGTGAGTCCATCCGCCGTTAGCCTGAATTATGGATGTGCCACGATTTCAAAAGTAGGAAGTTTGATTAAAAGTCTCGCCAATCCTTTGTAAAAATAATAACAATAATAAAAAAATATTTTCTCTGTTTTGATATTAACCAATCATAGAGCTTGGCGCTTTTGGGGCTCCTTATAAAACGTTTACAGAATTGCAGTGACAGTGTCGTCAGTAAGAAATATATATGTTTTCACCACAAGAGGGTGCTGTGAGTTATATTTTAATGAGCCCTTTGAAAATAAGGGCCACGTGAACTTGTAGCAAAAAGCCTTTCGCCGCCGGGAAAATCGACATTTTTGTGTTTACCAGAACAAAGATAATAATCTTACAATAATATGTTGTCCGAATTATTGACAAAGCAAATACATTCTTTGCAACTCCAAAGCTTTAGTAGTCATATGCATTCATCAAAACAATTATATTTTGTCATTTCTCTAACAAAACAGAAAACAATGTGTGATCTGAAAATGGCTTACTTAAAAGCCACAGCCCCTGACAGAAAAGTAGCCGCTGTTGGATTGTGGTACACAAGATCTTTTTTTAAGGCACCCTGAAACTCAGCCAACCTCAGGGTTACATAATGTAGCTCCACCTGATGTCAGAGATATAGGTCACATTTAATTTAAGACCGGAATCGCCTTGCATTTCTCAAAATGCTGATTATGAGAATAGGCCACCCATCCACCTTCAAACCAGGCTGAGCAGGATAGAGGACAGAAGGCACATGGCATAAGTGTGCTGAACACCCTAAACAGGCTGCCTGTACGTTATAAAGCACATAACTGATTTCAGTTCAGCAGGGAATTGGGAGGGAGCAGAAATGCACACTGTCTGGCAGAGAGCTGGAAGGGAGCAAAAATGTGGACAGTCAGACAGGGGAGCTGGGAGGGAGCAAAAATGTGGACTGTCTGGCAGGGAGCTGGGAGGGAGCAAAAATGTGGACTGTCTGGCAGGGAGCTGGGAGGGAGCAAAAATGTGGACTAGCTGGGGGTCCCAGAGAACCAGGGTGGGAAACGCTGATCTATGCTATAAGTATGTGGACACCCATATTAATTACAGGAAATGTCTAATTAAGCTACACACATCCCTGACACAAGTGTTTAATTAAGCACACAGTCACAAAAACTCCTGCAACAAATATTACTGTCAGAATGGGTGGCTGTACAGGAGAGATTAGTGACTTTCCACTTGGCACCGTCATCGGACACCATCTATACAACAAGTCAGTTCTCCGCACTTCTGTCCTGCTAGAGCTGTCCTGGTCAACTGCAAGTGAAGCGGTCGTTAAGGTCAGAAGGTCTGGGAGCAATTCAGCCGCGAAGTGGTCGGTCACACAAGCTCAGAGAAAGGGACCTGATCAGCCAACATCAACACCCAACCTGAATGGCAGCAAATCCCACCAGAGAGGTTCCAGCATCTTATGGAAATCCTTCCCAGAAACGCAAAGGCTGTTATGGCAACAATGGGCCGAATAACTTCATATTAAAACCCTTGGATTTCGATTGAGATGTTGGAGAAGCTGGTGTCCATATTGTGCATATGAATAAATTAATATACTTATGACTCATGCAAAGTGCATTATAATCCTATTTAAAAATGACTTATCAGAATGTATATCTTGCAGAATAAACCTAACAAACTTAATTATTAAAAAAATTATAATAAACTCAAATGACCGGCAGATTTTACTTTTTAAATTCTGCTCTGCAGCTTTTGACCTAAAACAATGAAGCATAATTAAACAAATAATAGGATCCAAAGAAACCAACTTAGTTTCCCAATAACAATGGTCCATCTCCTACCAGAAGAATATATCGTTCTTTTTCCTCATGCTGGTAAGCAAAAAAAAAAAAAAAAAACGCTAACAGTTTGACTTCTTCATTAGGAAGTGGGACTCTCTCGTTTCAGTTTAAAAACAGCCTGCAACATGTTCCGCCCATGTACTTATCCGGGGATGGAGGGAAGGAGAGAGGAGGAGGATAGAAAAGCGTAATTTTCCTTGTTTGAGCGATGACCATTAAAATAATGGCTGAACTGTTTTTACTGTACTATTTAAAGGTCCCATGTATTTTTAAAAACAAATTTTCCTTCCAGTCTTTTTTTTCCTTGAGAGCATCCTGATGTTCAGAATTCAGCCTAGGCTATGTTTATGCTTAATATCGTATGAATAAGCAGTACATTTGTATCGAAATTTAAAGATTTGGTGTGTGAAATGTGATGTGCTTGACTTGCATGGTTAAAAAAAAATAAACAAACTTGCAGCGCAACGACTGAACTGCAATGCTGAAAAATTACATCAGCTCGCGCGTCTGAAGACCCCTGGTCCACGTGAGAGCACAATGTGCTCCGATGTGTTTACATGAAATTCGATACTCTGATTCCAAGAACTGGAGCGATCAAGGCAAACTGGAGATGTGTTTTTGCGCGAGTATAAGGCTTTGCATCGTTTTTGTACAGTTACTTCAGCCCTCAGAGGCGTACGGCTCATGTTACAAGTATCCCTGCACGCTGCCAGGACACCGTGTGATATATTCCTAGTTGTTTTACGTTCGGTGTTCTGAAATTCAGGATTTTATGTGCGCCCTGGCTCTGTCCTGTTCTGAAAAACATACAGAGCGGATGTTTTTCTTTCATGTCGCAACAGGAAATTTGCCTTAATAGATAGCATAAATGTTTATGTGGTATCATATTATGGGATATCATAAACTGCTCCTGTTTGTGGCTCAGAGGTTGTGATTTTGCCAGATACCCTCAATGCTGAACTGGTCCGTATCTCGGTATGGTTACAGAACTCTGCATGAATAGGTGGTTTTATAAAGATAAATGCACAATGACCTATGCAAATATGTAGCATATGTGTTTGGGACAGTCAAGATCAGGGATACACACACACACACAAACACATACACACACACACATATACACCCCACCACCACCTAATCAGTTATAAACAAAGTCCAAAAAAGTATCCACGTCAAGAATTGTGGATTTGTGGCTAATCTACAAATATAACCTTTGTTGTACACAAACGAATATCTGACACAGCAGAAACTTTCTAACACATAAAATGCACAACATTTCAACCGCCCTGTGACTCTGATCAGGATAAATGGTTTGAAGATGGATAGTTGGATGGTTGGAACATTTTCGACACTGCCAGAAGATGCAAAGTCCTTATATTGGACACAAAATTGCAATGTCTTAGTCTTTTGCCGTAAAAGTGCATCTAATTAAGCAGTAAAATTGAAAGTTCTTTTCAGTCGTTAAAGAGTGGACAATTAACAAAAAGACAGGAGTGCACGGCCACACGGTCAAAAGAGAAAAGGTAAAAGAAAAATTGCTATGGGTAACAAAACCAAAATAACTTGCTATCCCAATTTAGGTCAAAGGTTATGAGTGTGTGTTTGTGCCGGTGTGATTCAACGTTTGGGCTTCAGCTCAATGTGATCTTTTTAAAACAACGTGGACAGAGCTCCCTTTTTATCATCTTACTAAATAATACCTTTGCAATTGTACAAAAAAAAGTAGTTTTGTCCAAGACAGCTGTGTGTGTAGCACTGGCGTGTTTGCTCCTTTCGTCACGAGACTGAAATTTACAGTGTCCATGGGTTTCATTGTTTAAAAACGTTTAATACAAGAAGAAAAAGAACCATAAAGTACTTTTCCTCAACTATGTTGTCTTAAATGTATACATCTTTCAATAAGCAAACATACGAATATAAAGAACACAGCTTGTTTATGTAACGGAACACCAGCTCATGAATTAAGGAACGCTATAGATGGGACGCGTAGGCGTGCATCCTAGTTAAGGTGGACCGGTGGAAGACTTTCTATGCGAATCCGTGTACACATCGTTTTTATTTTCTCAGTACGACCTACGACAAACGCAATGAAAAATCGCAGTGAAAACGGTGCCTGTTTGTGAAAGTGCGACAACCTCGGTGCGTTAATTCCTGAAACATAACCTCGCTTACCCACATTTCCACCTTAAGCAGGGGCGGTCCAGGCACTGTTAGAGACGCCGGTTATAAGCGACCATGATCCCAGAACCCCCAAGATTTCTCTGGGTATCAGAGGTATCACTCTTCTTGCTGGGTATCGGTTCCCGTTTTACAGGTATTTTTTAAATTAAATATATAGTTATAACCGCATGTTTAGAAACGTAACGGTCGTTTGCTTGCTTTGATTTATGTGGTCATTTTTATTATTTGTAACTAGCTTGTTATAATGCACGCTTTCCCCCATGTATTTCGTTTGCGTTAGATTACTGAAATATGTTACCGACGGAAATGGGTTTGTTATCCGGTAATTTAGTTGGTTTATGGAACTAGATGTCTATCAATACCCGAAAACTGGATTCATCCAGTTTTTTCGCATCTGTAATCCTCGAAGGTTTCATTAGGTTGGGTCATTATCTAACCGGTTTTTTTAAACAACAAGGCCACGATTGCGCTTCTGTTGCTGCTTTGTGAAAATAGTCACTCTGATGATTTGACCTTTTCTCCACAAACAGAAGCAAACATTGGGCCCCTACGTTGGTTAAATATAATCAGCAATGTCGTCACGTGAGCCGAACTGGGGATGAAAATGAATTGTGTTTAAACGGATTTTGCTTTCATTTTATCTGGGGTGTAGTTTTTTTTTTTTTTAGTTTTTGAGCGTGCTGCCCCTGTTAACACATCAGAACGGCGTGCACGTGGAGAGACAGGCGGTCATGGGACTGTGATGATGCAATGATGTCACACTGTGACTGCATCTCGTCGCTCCGCGCGCCGCACCGAAAAGGATAGCAAACTGCTAGTTTTGCTTCTTAAAATCTTTTGTTCTATGCAATCCTATTTTTTTCCATCCCAGGTTTAATACGTTAAATTAACGTCAGAATCGTCACCATGAGCAAGGACACCGAAATGGACATGAAGGACGTGGCGCTGAACGACGTCGACCCGGAGAAGCAGCCGATGACGGACGGAGCGGCGGCGAACGACATCGCCGCCTCCCCGACCGGCACCGAGAAGAACGGCTGCGTTAAGGTGAAGATCCCGGAGGAGAACGACGCCAAATTCACCGGCCTTTCCAAAGAGGAGCTCCTTAAAGTCGCCGGAACTCCAGGGTAAGAACGGTGTTCTGACGAGTTGAGCTACTTTGTCGAGTTAGGCTACCGCAGTACTAATCGATAGCCATAACCATAACCATAACCCCCAAACCACCCCTAAAACCCTTACCCTAACCCCCAAAAAAACCCTAAAACCCTAATCCCAAGACGATGGAACTGCACATGCGCAGAAAGGCTCGATAGCACGTCTCGATAGGTAGCATTTATCGATAGAACAACGGCTTTACCGTTCATTTACCACATGATACACTGAGTGCATTTTTTTTTAATTAATATTTGCATGCTCTTTATTTCAGGTGGGTGAGGACCCGCTGGGCCCTGCTGATTCTCTTCTGGCTGGGCTGGCTCGGGATGCTAGCGGGAGCCATCGCCATCATCGTTCAGGCGCCCCGCTGTGAGCCTTTGCCGGCCCTGAACTGGTGGAATTTAGGACCTCTCTACCAGGTTGGCGACGTGGCCGCCTTCACGGAAGCCGGCAACCTGAAAGGTAAATTGCTACGTATAATAATTTGTGGACACAGAGGAATGCTGTTGCACACAGCTTTGGTTCAAACTACTACATATGTTTCTCTAACTGACATGATAAAATTAATTGAGAATCGCCCCCCCCCTGCAATTCCAGTTTAAAAATGTCCCTCCGTGCTTCTTAAGGACCCCTGGGAGTTTTACTTACACACAAATGCTCTGGGGGCAGAACGAAAAAATGATTGCGTAACTTTGCCCCCACCTCAGTTAATTTTATTGCCAAGATTTCAAGATCACATGGTATAACGGTATTACTGTGATTCTGCCTAAGCCTACGCCAGTTCTGCCCCAGTCCGGTTTTCGAGGCAGAAGCCGTAATGGGGTCAGGTTTCCTGGTTTCCCACCTCGGCCTGCATACAGGATTAATCCAGCTTATTTGGTCTCATGCTTTCTCAGCAGGAGTTTTTTTGTTGTATAATTCTGCTTATCTGGCAAGATCCCACTCTTCCTGTCTAATGTGCGTAAATGGACTCTGTGTGCATTTTCCCTTTCACACAGCGACTGTGTGACCCACTGTTCATAGTCCTTATCGTGCAAACTGAAAAATGATGGATTTTAGTAAATAACAGCGTTTGTGGGCCATTCGAGGTACGCGACTTTGGAAATGAAATGTCGCGATTCTCTGCTGCACCACAGGTGTAGAGGAGAAGATGGACGCCCTGAATAAGCTGAAGGTAAAGGGGCTGGTTTTGGGACCGATCCACGTGGCCGACGTGGACAAGCCCTCGACTCTCGAGTTTGGTGAGATCGTTGCTGAGGTCGGGACCCTGGACCAGTTCAAGAGCCTGATCCAAACTGCGCACAAAAAAGGTAAGTCGGATTTGGCTCTTCCCTTGGTCTGCCTGTTGTGATGCTCTGTTCCTCTGTTTAGGCTTCCACCCCTGTGCAGTTTCACGGGCTGTGTAGTTCTTACTCCTTTTCATTGTTTTCTTTACCTTGTTGAGGCCCATAGGCGGCTCATGGGAGTGTCCCTTGCGCAAAATTGTTCTGAGGGCAGAATGAAAAATGATTGGTTCAGAGACAACCAATCAAATTGAATCGGAGGTGGGTCCAAGCAACTAGAATAGGCGGGACCAAGACATCTGATTGGTTCCACCTCCTCTAGTTGCTTGGACCCACCTCCGATTCAATTTGATAAGTTTTCGTTCTGTCCTTAGAACGTGTTTGTGCAAGGGAAACTCCCATGAACCCGTAGGCAGCATGAAGAACTGTTTTTAAATTGGCATTGCAGGGGATTAGTGTTCATAATTTATTATTATTATTTATTGACAACAGCAACAAAACAGCAGCAATAGTAATAATGATGATTTTATTTGTGACACATTTCTCACACTCGGTGCACCTTTACGAACGTTACACTGGAAAGAGAGATTTCTGTGTAATAAGCAGAATTGTACAAAAAAAAACCTGATCACATGATGCCAAATCAGATTAATGTTGGTAAAGCTGCATAAGATGGATGGTAAAACTAAAAACCAATCAAGCAGGCATTAAGAATACAAAACATATAAAGTAATGAATGAGGTTAGAAGCAATGGGGGGAGGACAGTGTGGCTGGCAAAGTCTTGCATCTTGAGACGCTTGGTTACCTCTGAACCTGCCTGTAAAACTCATCAAGCCTGTAATTACCAGCTAACCGTCAGCCGGTCTGCCCACGTCCCTCTAGGCATCTCGGTCGTCCTTGACCTGACCCCTAACTACCTCGGCAGTGAGCCGTGGTTCGCCCACGTGTCCGTCACCAACGTGGCTGAGAAGCTCAAGGTGAGAATCCGTAGCTGCCGCCTCGTGGCGGAGACCGATTCTGTGCCGCGCGTCTCCTGAAGTTTGGGCAAATGCCATTCATTGGGTGACTGGAGCAGCTTCCGAAGACTCGCCAACCAAATTGGCACTTGTGCTTCTCGGTAGTCGATGTGTAATGGTGCAGAGCCAAGGTTGCAATGGAATAATTGAACATTGTTAAACCCAGAGACCTGACAATTCTGACCAGGTTTAAATGTGTTATTTAGTAACATTGTGTCCAGTTGTCGTTCCGTTAATACCTAGAATAGCACCCCCTGTCTGCTCTCTCCCCACCCTCAGTCTGCCCTGGTGTTCTGGCTTGACCAAGGCGTAGATGGGATTAAGCTGTCGGGAGTCGACCGTGTGTCCAGTCTGGTTCCGAGCCTTTGGACGGACATTCGGACTATCGTGCAGATGGGTGAGAAGAGGTGAGGCAGAACTCTTTCCTGTGCTATGCTTGTAAATAGAATTTGTCTGGAACATAAATGATAAATTTAGAACTTGCGTAACACATGTATTTAAATCATGTAACTGGTTTTTAATTTCCTGCCATTGCAATAAAATGCTCAGCAGCACCCTCTAGTGGCAGTACTGATTTCCTGCATCATAATGCAACGTACTCCTGTCATCAGGCTTCTGATCGGTGTTGTGGACCGAATGGACGCCACAGAGGTCTCCAACCTCCTGAACTCTACCGAGGTCGACCTGCTCCTCTCCGGCGTCCTGCATTCCAGCTGCATTCCAAAGCTCGGCGGCGACGAGTCGTACGTGGAGTGTGCGCAGTCCATCCAGGAGCTGTACTCCGCACAGGCGCAGACACGGCTGGCCTGGAACCTGGGGAAGCGGTCGCGCGGTCACCTGGCCTCGCTGGTCGGGCCCGGCCTGGTCAAGCTCAACCAGATGCTGCTGTTTACGCTGCCTGGCACACCTGTGTTCAACTACGGGGACGAGATTGGCTTGGAGGACCAGGTGAGGAGGAAGGGTTGGGGCTAGAAGGACAGCGCTTGAGGGGGGGGGGGAAAAATCGACTACATCAGGAATAAACTGCTTGATTCAGTTGTGAGTGACAGATGTCGCCTCCCATTTTGACAGGACACAAAGTTTCCCAGGATGCACTGGGACTCAAAGGACACAAACGAAACTACGCAGGTAACTTCTAAATTAAACCTTACGGCTGGAAATCTGGTGTTTAATCTGCTTCCTGAGACCCTGCTCCAGATCCACTGTAGATGCATTTCCCTAAAACCAGCTGCGTAAAGTCGATCATTTTTGATAGTCTCAACATAATTTCATAACTATTGGAAGCAGGTGGCCCTGTTTAGTGTTAAGTGTCTTTTACTGTATTTAAAATTAAATATAACCGGACAACAGCCTTGTCTTTAACTGCTGCGCCACCTGCTGTCTCACTTCTGCCTTGCGCTGACCCTTTGTTTTCGCCTTTCGCTACAGGATGGGAGGGTTTCCAGCAGCTTATTCAAGGACCTGAGTGAGCTGCGAGGGAAGGAGCGCTCCCTGATTCACGGCGACTTCGACGTGATCCACAGCTCGAACTCCTCCCTGGCGTACCTGCGGCACTGGGACCAGAGCAGCCGCTACTTGGCTGTCTTCAACTGGGCACCGCAGGCTGTGACGCTCAAGCTAACGGGCGCTGACCTTCCCGCACAGGCCACCGTGCAGCTCAGCACGGACCCGACGCCCCCTAAGGGCAGCACCGTGCAACTAGCGGCGCTGGAACTGGGCCCCCAGCAGGCGGTGCTGTTGAGCTACCCTTATAGCTCCTAGAGAATTAGGGTGATGTGTCCGCCTCAGTGTTAAGAAAATGTTAAGTGCTGCGAAGATAGTGCTGTCATTTTAGGTATTTGTGAGCTCTGTGGGTCTCTGTGTTCTCTGGAGTCCATGCATTGGTAGTGTTTTTTTAATTACGTTCACATAAGATAATTGTAGACATTAAGATGTTACTGTTAGATGGATGTTTATGGTGCATAAAATGTGCTGAAAATGTCAGTATTGCAAATGTTAACTCTTAACTCCTGTTTGTAGTTTTAAAATGTGAAAATATGCAGTAATTTAAAAGCTGTTAAAAGGCATGCATTCTGTTCATTTACTTCGGCTGTGTACAAATGCATTTTAATGTAAAAAGGAAAAAAGACTAGAGAAACTACTGACATTAAATAATGCCATATGCACTCCAAGTAAAGTAAGTTATTTCAATTTGAAATGACTCATTGAAGCAATTCTGTTTAATTCATCCAAAAAGTCAGTTCCAACCTTACCTGTAGGGTATAATTGGACCATTTCTTCAATATGGCATTGGTCCAGAGGCGCTTTTTTTTTTTTTTTTAAACTTCTCTTCTGAGTTTAGTTTAAGCATTGAGTTAGTGAAACAGCAGTTGAAATGAGTGAATGACAATGAAAAAAATCTCTACCTGAAATCCAGTGTTAAACCACAAAACAACCAAAATAATTGCAGCTTTATGTATACTCCCAGTATATTTATGTTAAATTTATGTTAAGTATGCCATGTATTGCAAATGCCATAGTCCAATTGGGCATTTAATTTGTAAGCCAGTACACATTATACTTTAATATAAAATATTTACTATTCTGCCCAAGGAGAAGGCACAAAATTGCTCTAGACTCAGATCCAGTTGCGATGTCAGTATTCCAGGTTTGGTCAGCTTGCTGGTTTGCATAAAAGTTTAAGCAAATAACAGGAACACATTTTTTCTGATTATACTTGTTTATGGCAAAAGAAAAACGTTTTTAAAAAAGTGCACACGGAAAACAATATGCGTTATTTTCAAATTATGTGGAAGGTGATTTTTTTTGCGAAAGGATCGTCCTTACTTTATTTGCAATTGAAGCTGAACCGGGAACAATGTCAGAGTGTCTTTCTCCTCAACAAAAGCTGTCTGTCTTCTGGCTCGACGCTGCACCTACGGAGTCCTACGGTGCTGAATTGTGAAGGGAATGCGCTGACAGATGAGTTACAAAAAAAACAGGCACTAACCAAGCAGAACTTTGCGCTGGCTTTTGACAGACTGGGTTTTAATAATGCAGCAAATTCTGTTTTTACTACACGTGTCTCTGCCTGTCAGTCCCTCACAAAAGTAGCCCTTACAGAACTTAAGCAATGTTAAGCAAGCGTAACACAGATTATAAAGTAATCATGACCGTTAACATGCTAATCTAAACTTTAAATCTAAATCAGACTACTTATCAGACTCGAGGTACGTGTTATTTGTATTTTTTTTTAAAACAAAATGTCTTGTTCAAGCCAATGGGCTTAGTTAATTGATGTTGGTTACCTGTGGGGGATCAGTATGGGTTGATTCCCAAACGTATAATTTAACATAGTGTGAAATACACTCACCTTTTTCCTATTAGATGCCCGTTGGCGTTTAGATTAGGCCTGATGCTATATTAAACATTCAGAACATCACGCCTTATATTTTATTAACGTCATGTTGCCTGACTAGTTTATCAAGGGAAACCCATTTTACTGACTACTCCGAGTGGGTCAGTTCATCTAGAGACGTAGACATGTATGTAATTTTATATCGACAAAATACGACAATGTACCAAATCATTCGCTCGCTGGCAGCTGCAAGTAGTAAATCTTACTACTGTATTCCTTTAATGTGTGAGAGCGGTCCCTCCCAAGCGGGAACTCCCTGACGCATTGCGGGTGGCCATCAACCAATCCGGTGACCCTCAGCGGGTCAGGTGACGCACGAAACAGTGCGTTCCCGCCATATATAAAGTTCCGGATTGCAATGTAAAAACATTTTAGGATTAAATAACAATCGATATCAAGCTAATATATACATTTAGTTGTTTGTTTACAAATCAAGCACACATATCATATAAAGCATGGAATTTTGATTGGTAGACGGAGCAGACATGTTTATTCCAACGCCCTTTCCAATAGGTTAGTCCGTCCAAGTCAAATTCGACTCGCGCTACTCGCCTGTGGCGGTTTTCCCCATTCAGTCGACAGCGCATGGATACCAGCGAAGTTGTTAGGAAGTACGGCGGCCGGCACAGGGGCCGAACAACACACGCGGCTTGATCTACGGAGTGCGAAGGAGCAGAAGTGACAGTAGTTAACGGCGTGAGGTGCGGAAGGAAGCGTAGCGCGCCCAATAGTTCACAGAGAGCTCGTCGTTTTCAAATCAGCAATAAAAAGTTAGTTACCAACCAAACATGGTAGGTATACTCGCCCCATGCCTTATATTTCCGATTATTTTATCGCTTCCGTGTTCTGCAAAGAAGTTTTTAGTTAAACAGCCGGCGGGTGTGGGTTGAGTGGATGAATAGCTGGAAGCGCCTTTGCTAGCTGGTTAGCTGCGAGCAATAGCCGCCGTTGCGTTATTTGATATTGGCCTTTGAAGCTGCTTTTCTTAGGTCTAGTATGTGTATGATTGCACCAGTGCTATCAGTGTAGTTATTAATATGGGATCTAATCCGTGTTTCATTAATTAAAATGTTTACTTTGTCGGATATCTGCGGTTTTTTAAAACATCACGGCTAGCTTGCTACATTACGTAGCTCGATAACTAGTTCCCTGACTCGTCTCGTTTTGTTCGCGGCGTGGGCAGCTAAATTTAATTCCAGGTGATCTGCGGTCCTTACCGCAGCCGTTGTGTCGAATTATTTATGGCTACCGTGGTGTTCAGCCCCCCAACTGGCGACGCCGGGATGTTGGATTCCAATGCAGTTATGGCAAAATAAGTAGCTAATTAAAATTAAGCTCGTCGCTTGCTTATTATATAATAGTGCATGTGTAGAGACCTGTTATCTCCAGGCGTGTGACTTTTCGTATTAGTCGCGGATCCATAACCGACGGTGCCTTAAATGGCTCTCATTTTCCACGCCCGCTGTTAAAGATGGCCTGCAGAGGTGTAGCGTAGCTGGCCGCCTGCGGTGTGCTTGTGTGACAGCGGCCCATTCGTGCCATTGATCGGTATCGCCTTAACCGCCGAATCGGAGGAGCCCGCAGCAGAATATATTTATATGTTGATAGTGAGTGGTGATTCTTATCTGCTGCGAAGGATGCCTTATGCCTAATTAAGAAACCTAAAATTTGCTATTTTTCTTCTGAGAACGGTGTAGGAGTCATGTTTAAGAGTTTTTTTCCATTGACATCATTTTGATTGCTTTCTAGGACACTTGCAGACTGATTTAATAATATGCCTAATGTGATGCAAGAACGCCTAATTTTAGATAAATGAACCATCATGGTGCACACTCCAGTAAAACAATTTTGTCTATTTCTAATTGGCCCTTAGCAAAGTCATGCAAAACACTTTGTGACTCCTCCAGACCAATGTTGCATTAAATCAGTCGGTCTGCCTCTATCGTATGGCACGTGTTTCTGAGAAGCCTGTCGTGTTTGTAGTGGGAATGATCCTTTGCATGTGCTGGTTTAACAATCTGCTACCCAAGGATGTTCATTTCTTTGTGTTTTCTGTATTTTTTTCAGGCTGACCAGCTGACAGAGGAGCAGATTGCTGGTGAGTGCTTAAGCAGATTTGGGAAAAAAATACATATGTCTTTACTGTGGGGGTGGTTCAGATCCACTCGAGCCAGACCTGTTAGTTGGAATAGTGTAGGAAGCCCATTCCTCAAGCTGTCTTGCTGTCACCCCTGGTCTTTTTAGCCTGGACACGCTTAGCTACTGCCAGCACTAGTCTGTGTTAAATGTATTATTTGAGATCAGTGCTGCTTTTGATGTCCTATGCAGATGTTTTGTTTCCAGCCAGTTGGTACTGGGACTTCTAGTTTTTGGCAGTGATATCATTCTGAGTCACTATTTAAAATGTGTGTTATGTATCTTTTTTAAAAATAAATGTCTGGCGTGTTTTCATGTACAGAGTTTAAGGAGGCCTTTTCGCTGTTCGACAAGGATGGGGATGGCACCATCACTACCAAAGAGCTGGGCACTGTGATGCGGTCCTTGGGGCAGAACCCCACAGAGGCTGAGCTGCAAGACATGATCAATGAGGTCGATGCAGACGGTGAGGGATGCACCAGTTCATGATATGGTGGGGGCATGGAGCCAAATGCTGGCAGTGGATTCCTGGGAAGGGGGGACAGGAATCGCCCTTTGGGTTGGATGAGCGACTGAGAGATGACGTCGTGTCTCTGACGTGCAGGAAACGGCACCATTGATTTCCCGGAGTTCCTGACCATGATGGCGAGGAAGATGAAGGACACCGATAGTGAGGAGGAGATCAGGGAGGCATTCAGGGTCTTTGACAAAGTGAGAACTTTTTAAAATTCTGTCACTAGGAAGCCTAACAATGCCAAAGCCATCAGAGCAGAATAGATCCAGAAAAGTCCATTGTGTGCTGGAATAATATGCTGGTGTAAGGGGTGACTGCACAGCTTAGGAGGAGAACCATCATGTCAAGGTTTACAGGTAGACTGCGAATGTGTAAACGGTAAATGTTTACTGAAGCTTGCTTTTGTGTATTTTCCTAGGATGGCAACGGCTACATCAGCGCCGCGGAGCTTCGTCACGTCATGACAAACCTGGGAGAGAAGCTGACGGATGAGGAGGTGGATGAAATGATTCGGGAGGCCGACATTGATGGGGACGGGCAAGTCAATTATGAAGGTCAGTGTGCCCTCTGCCCCGCTTATGGTTTATCTACAAACTGGTCTTATTACTAAGATGACATTTAATAATTCTGGCGGCAAAAATTAAATTAGGTGAGGAGCAATTATTGGGGCGTTTCTTAGAAAAGTAAAAGCTCTCCATGAAAGTCAATCATGTTTGACATTCAATTTTTGTAAGTCGCTTACGTGATGCGGATTAACATGCGCTGACTTCTTTCATCCCTTTGCCGTTGCAGAGTTCGTACAAATGATGACTGCAAAATAAAACCGCAGATCGAACGCACTGGGCCAAATGGAGGACGGTACCTTCATTATCAACACTCTACAAGCACTCAGATTTTGCATTTACTATTTACTCTTTGCGTACAGTTTTATTTTTCCATGATTTATTATTTTTGATGCCTTGGTTAATCTATGAAATGACAATTATGTATGTGTATGGTAAATGCGGTGGCGAACCAAGCAAGCTTTTGTTTACTAGGAAAAACATGCATGTTCAGTTCAGGCCTTTTCTTTTCTTTTTCCTCCTTGTTAAACTGCTCTTGCATCCATGTTGTGCGACCTCTGGCTGAATAATGCCCCGCTCTGTCTCACCACTTCACGGGGGAGGGATGTGAGAGAAGGTGACGACCGGCTGAAGTACGCGGGTAATTCCCAAGCTTCCCAGCATCTTGTCAGCAGCCACCTGAATGGGTTGCTTTTCTCAGGAACGTATTTTCGTCTCATACGTGTTGCGGTGGTTTTACTTCAGCATGACATCTATCGGTAACGGCCCAGTTAAGGTTATAAAAAAAAAAAAAATCAGGAAAATTTTGTCTCTGCCACATTGAGCTAATTGGCAAGGCTTTATTTCTGAATGACATGTTGACTAGACTCAGACTGAAATCGAGGTCCCCATCAGGTGAAGGGCGGTCAAGTATCAACACAGTGAGTGGAATGTCCACTGAGAGGCATTTTACAAAGAATGCCAATGGTTTATTCAAATCTAACCTCGATTACATGTTTTCAGCCCTTATTTTTAGATTATCTAGCTAAAGTAGGTACCAGTTATGTGTGGAGGGGAGGGTACTGGATATATTTCCATTTGGTCATCTGTGAGTAGATGCTAAAGCCTTAGCCAATGGACGACTCGATGCCTAGGTTTAGTAGAGAATGTATCTATTGGTAATTATTAGCATTGGATATTTCAGGCAGATGTTTTGTGCTCTGTTATTAAAAGGCTATAAATACAATAGTATGAGATGCCAAAACTGCTGGTGACTTGACTTCAGCAGCCTAACCAAGCTACTTATTATGCTCTAATTGCTTGGCTACATGCTTAAGAGGCATGTATGGATACGGATTTACAAGCTTTAGTGATTTAGCTGCAAACAAATAGACAATGTCAGCCCTTTTTTCATTATATAGCTTGCTCCTGAAAAAATTTAAACGACTCAATAATGCAAATTAAAACTTGATTAAATATGTAGCAGCAACATCTCCCTGTTCTCTTCAACTGCTTCAAATAGAAGCACATACATACTCCAGTGGATCAATCTCTTTGATTTCCATAAGCTGTAGGAGCTAGTAATGAACAAATTATCCGGGTCATTTTATCACTGAATGTTGTGTGATGAGCCAAACATACCGCTCAATCCTTACATTTCTCAGTGTGCAAATATATATTTTTTTTTGTTTAAACTCTTAATCTCGCACAAGGTCTTGTGTTGTTTTGATGGGCTAGGCACTTGTTTTGGAAATGTCTCCTTCAGCTATTGTGATCTCGGTCATTGATGGGTTTTTTTAATACTTTTTTTTTTTTAAGCACACCAAGATATGTACATAAGATGATCTGATTTCTAGGGGCTGTACTGAGTCACATGGCAATCTATTGCAAATTTTCAATGCTGCCTTCATTCTCTTTTGTAAACACGTTTAACTTGATTCTCAGTTTGAGATTTTGAGTTGCCAATTCCACCCCCCGCCCCCGTACTGCTCATGTTGTCTTAAGCATGGGACGTCATGCATTCCATTGCAGATCTGAAGTTAAATTCTTGCTAATAAAACTCTGCGATCAGTGTTTCTAAATGGCCTCTCCTGTCTTTCTTCAACTTGTGCGTCACGGAAGGCTGATTATGACGCAGGTCTTTGCAACGCGATATATTGCCTCCGTAGGAATATTGCTGGTCTGTTAAGTAATTTGCTTTGCTGCGCGATGGGTAGAGATTACAAAGTAATGCATTCTATAGTAGAAACACGATATATCAGAAACGTGGTTGTACAAACGGAAGACGACGAATGTGTCCATTCCACATAAGGGCTTACCGCTTTGAAGATCCACATAGTGTTAAGCTAACAATCTGTATTTACATTTTGCGATAAGAATAGTACATAACTTTGCATACACATTCAGATTTTACTTTTTCTTGGTTCATGTCACTAACACCCGAAGAATAAAGCACATAATTACAGTACGATGACTGCAGCAATCTTTTTAATATTACAGAAACTTTAAAGCCGTGAGGTTCAGATAATTAATTTTCACATAGCAAGGACGTTCATTGAGTTTATGGAAGCGACGCATTATTTGAGATTACCAACATTTACAATTAAGAGATCACAGTTCAACCCGACACACCCAAATTACCACAGCTGAATTGTGAATCATAGCACTCCAATAAGTATCAATTTTGCATCAATATTACTCGCGGCCGCCTTCGCATTTCAGCATTATGTCATTATGTAGGCGGGACCTAGGCGTCTAGAAGCTTCACCAATAAAAGGTCTGTGGTCTTCAGCCAATGACTGGTTAGATCGCTCGCCTCAACTGTGACAGATGGCGCATGCAGCCAATTATCGAGTTCGCTGAGTTTCTGACCATGAACAAACGGTTTTCATTTCAAGCCTATTACCTTACAGTATTTCCCGAGTTTATATAGCCTCAAGATGACCTACTAATACGTTCATATTTCGTGTTAACCGTGAAAAGATTTTTCAACGGAGCTGCCACTTGACATTCGGCAATAAAAACTCAAGGTAATGCAACATGCTACAGCTACTCAAGCAGGAATATCTGAATAACTGCCGAATCGACCACTTGGGGAAGCAAGCGGTTTTTTAAATCGCTTTTTTGTGTACGCTTGCGCGAAAGGAACAATCCAACGTATTGTCTAAGGAAAATAGCCTTCTTTCGCTTTTTCATTATATGTGTAAAGCATCCATCCATTACTAATTTACGAATTTCTAATTACGTGTTGGCTCAATTCGTAATGGTCTAATTTACTTTAAATTTAGTAACACTATCTGCATATTTGGTGGTTTCACTTCGACAGTATAATTTAACGAACCAAATAAGATCAGTCGCTCCAAAATAAATATAAACATCGAAAGACCGCTTACAGATGACTAAAGTCCTGGAACCACGCGTTAGTATTTGCGTTGCGAGTTCAAGTGAGATAAATCGTTCAGTGGGCGGGTCGTTTCGGCACGAGATGACTCGCTATTGGCCCGATGTCAGATGGAGGCGTTACGGCCAAGGCCAATTACAAGTTCCCGGCGGTGGTGCTTGGGGGCAATTGATACCTGGGGTTGAGTAGGTAGTTTGGCCTGCCGGCTTTTGACGTCTCCGCTCACAGCCATCACCCCCCCCGACATATCAGGCGGTAGACATATCAGGAGAGGAAGAAACGAAGTCAATCGAGGGTTGCTGGACTAGCAAACTGGCGACATTGAAACCACCCGGGCTAGGGGTGTAACACGCACAATAGGGGCACGTCGCGGCTCTGTCAGTGACACCGGCGTGAGAAACTTTTTTTTAAAGGTTTAAACACGACGCACACGAGGCAAAGGTAACTCCACAGAAACACGAGTGTTGTGTTTAGTAAAACAGTTTACTAAAGAGCCTGTTTTGGCATGCGTCGCCTACGCACGATGGTGCCCAGCAGTTTGTTAGCTAGCGGCTAAATACATCCGGACAGATTTCTCAGGCCAGGGACTAGTTTGCATGTTAACCACGCACGCAGCCAGCCACATAGCTCGCATTGTGGTTAACCGTTGCCAGCAATTATTTTTTATTCGAAATGCAGACCTGGCACTGCATGACAGTTAAGAGATCCTCCGTGTTTAATAATTAAACTTTCCTCGGAAAGCCTTTGATATAGAATATTTAATATCCTATGCGATATTATAAAAATAAAATTTGAATTGCATCCATCCATTCCGCTTTTCAGTCACTGGATGACCAATTAGGAAAGGTTTGTGAGGTTTTCCGTGATCGTGCGGTTTTCTTTGAACTAGATGCCCTTTGGACATAACGCTGAGATAAGTGCTGTATATGCATTCAGATAAGCCATTAGAAGGTTATATGTTCGCATCCCAAAGTTTGGTTTAAAAATGTAACGTGGCTCAGCGAGACACTGTGTAAAATGATATGTGAATGTAATAAGAATGGCCAAATTGGCCCGCATGTTTAATTCTGAGTGAAGTGCTGACACGGTGCTCTTCGTATTCTACTGTTCGTTAGCTGCTGCTGCTGCGCCGTGTACCACGTGCGGCTGTCCGTCTAATTTATTTGCTAACTTGCAGTTGGGTATTACATGCAGTACGTCCGCGCTGAGATTGAGATGCATTTTAAAAGTGTGTTTGATGTTGGATCTTCTGCCAATAACCCTGATGTGATAGACCTTGGATGTATGGATTGGTGTTTTTATTAGAGTAAATAGCCTTTTTTTTTGGAATAAGCTCATAGAGGTCTGCATCAAAATTAAAACGTACATATTTTACATGGTATTGGGTAGGGCTTCTGTACAGTATTCTGTGAAATTGCTTCTTGGAAAGTTAAGAATTGTTTTTCTTTGTTATATGTACCGTTATAGTGTTGGTCATGGATTTCATTCAGATCCCCAACTGGAACCAGTATTCTGGCATGGTTGTGCGGGCTGAAAGTATTTCTTTGAGTAAAGGGCTAACGTCATACAAAAGTCCAAAATATCCGATTTCTCCAGTCAGCATTTATAATGTTGGCCGCCTATCCCTGATGCATTTAAAATCCATGGCACATTTCTAGTGAAGTACTCTTTATATCCAACACGGAAATTCTACCCAAGAGTGGCACATTGAGTGGTTTTTTGCTTTGGGCCTCATCCATAATCTTATTAATGTCCTTTTCATACCCTGAATGCTGGTGCCAGCTTAAAATCAGTGCTCCCAATCTACCTCTATAGCACAAAGTCTTTTTATAACCTGCTTTTCTTGATGGCTTCTCCCATTCATTACTGTTAGGTGTTTAGAAACTTCAAAGATTGGGAGTCAAACTAGGACGGCCAGGAATGCAGAGGTGTAACCTTGCATTAATTGCATACTTTACTTTTTTGCAGCTGTTGCATCGTATACTGAAATTATAGTCTAAAGTCCAGAAAGAGCCCAGACCAATGGTGACTTTTGAATTAAAAATTTGTCATTCTTGTATCTCCTTTTCCTGATCAGTGTTATGGTATGTGAAGGTATGACGGAGGGTTGTCCCAAACAGGACAGGGCCAGCGTGCACCATAGATGGCATGATAGCCCATTTGATAGCCCAGGGGCTGAATAAGATAATATCCTTACCTTCATATGTGTTCTGGTTTGCCTAACCTGTCTTTATGAGCGTAAACGTTTTATGACTCTTGGATTGTGTGAGCGCTCACTGTTTACATTGTGGTTTGTAACCTCTGGCCGTTTTGGTAAATCTTTGTTTGAGTTGCCGTGTGTCTGTGAATCACCCCGTCATCCCTGTCATGTGACCCATGGTCATCAGCGATAGGGAACTGGAGGAGGGAGCTCAGTGATTTTTGTGTGAGTAAGTCAAAGGTAAGAGGTGGGACGTGTCTGTTTGCCCGGTCGCGTGTAGCTCGACACGCAGCCTCAGTATGATGAAAGCAAACACTGAGCTTAGGAGTCGGGCTCGTCTGCCCGAGCTTCATGAGCAGGAAGACCCTGCTGTCATGACAACGATTTCTGCTAGCTGCCCTCAGACTCTGCAACAAGTCTCGCTCCTCATCTCTCATGGTCAAGCTAACTGGGCTCGACTGTGGATCACTGTAGACTCACAAGCTCTCTTTACACAACTCCCTTTTAAAAACTTTTATATGTATATTTCATCTGTATATTTTATGTCTTTTGACTGAGTTTCTACAGTAAATGTCCTCAAGTCACATTCAGCATGAGGGCGACTGCTTCCCATGACTTAAACCTTTGAAACTCATAATTGGAGTCAGGAAGGATGTGGCATAAATTGGTAGGTAAGTGCTGTGTGCTTGAATAATTTGGAGAAGCAGGTATTGATAATTTTTTTTTTCTTATGATAAAGCTGGCTGGATGTTGCCAGATGGAAGTGGATTTGTTCGTACTCACAGGAGAGTGAAACACTTGAGTCAATCACAAAAACACTTTGCCTTTGTGTTTGTTATGACAGTCCAACTTTTGCGCTTGAAAATTGCCGGAAAATGGGAAGCAATTGAGTAGAGTTGTATTTCTTGCCTCAAGCCGATTGGCTGGTATTGAAAGCCTCTGGTTGGCACTTCTGGTAACGAGTAGAGATTCGCCTGTCGTGTGCAATTAGTGTAGATGAAGGAGAATGGGCTTGTGCTCTTTGAGTGTTTTCCCGTGACTTTGGGAGGGCAATCTTACCCAGAAAGGGCTACTGTCTGGCGGGATTTTATAGCAACTCCCTAATTAGATCACTAATTAGAGGACTGGTTGGCTGAAGAGTCTTCACACTTGGGTTTGTACAGCTGACCGAAAGCTTACCCCAAAAACCTGCATACCCCCCCCCCCCCCCGTGTTATAGGAGTACAACTACCCTAGTCTCCATTGGGTCTATGCCTACCCAGTTTGACTCCCCAGTTGCATCTGAAACTGCACCATGTGAGGAACTGCTGAAGGAATGGATGGTTCTCGGTTAATGGGCGAATTCCATTCTGGAAGTATTCCATGTTTTATGCATTTTAAGTGTTTTTTATTTAATTTTGTTGACTTTTGCTTGTGCTTTCTTAATACATCCTCAAGTGTATTTTTCTTTATTTCAAAATAGTGTATTTCAGGCCTCTGTG